CAAGACAACACTTCCGATGGGCATGAGTAGAAGAGAATTAAATTAATTTCATCGAGGCAAAGATTGGCCAGGGTTGAAACTTTGGACATTTTTTTAAAAGATTGCATTGTAAAGAATGAACGCTAAAAGGAAATCGCCCACCGTCGTGGTCGAACCCACGACCACAAGGTTAAGAGCCTTGCTCTCTACCGACTGAGCTAGACGGGCTATGTTGATGATGAATATATTCATAATAAAAGCAAAATGAACACTATTTTAGCATTAAATATTTTATCTGCTAAAGTTATAGAATTAGTGAGAAAGTAAACTTCTTATTCAAAATTATTCCCAAAATTACTGTCCATTAATACCTGAATATTCTTAAAACGTTGTTACAATAATCAGCAAAATAAAGCTCTCCATTATATGAATTCAATGTACATCCTCCTACGTAGCTCTCCTGTATCAGTTCACTATTCTTTGAATTATTGGAAATATCAGAAACAGATTCTAACCTCCCTTCCATATCCATAACTTTAATGCAATCGGTATTGACAGTTATTATTTTGTAAGAAATCGTGTCAAATAGCGCATAGAAAAAATCATTGAAATGAATCTCCTTGACACTCTTCCATTCAGTTTCGTTAATTTTCTTCAATATTGAGAGATATTTCTCATCTTGATTGGTCAATAAAAGTGTAAATTCATTAATCACTTGAACATTCCACACACAAAATCCAAAATCCATTTGTTCTAAAACTTTTCCATCAGACAAGCTTAATATCGAAAATTTCAAGTAAGGATCACAAAAATAGATAGCATTTCCATAATGTTGTAATCCAGCTGGTCCATCAAATAATTGACTCTTCCAAACATGTTTCAATTCATTGGGTTGTTGATGATTCAACATTTCGAATAGGGAATACTTGTAGACATGACCATCACAACATGAAATAATTAGAGAATTACCACCCACTACACCTGTATCATTCTCTACCACATCTATATATACTGGAGTGGCAGGCATGATGATGGACTTCATCAGATTCCTACTCATTAAACAGAAAAATTGAATTCTATCATTGCCATGATCACTCACAATAATACAACCAAGTGAGTGGCAAATCTTTACATCAAACGGATTTTTAAACCCCGAAATATTATCAACATTATCAATTTCATTAGAAAAGGCTTTCTTTCGTTTAGATTTGAATTTTTCCAACATGTGGGATGGAAAATTCACATTAAAATCTATCAATTCGATATTTACTAAATTTTCATCAGTCAAAGATGAGGAATATTTTCTCTTCTTGGAGGAACTTTCAAGGGAATTTTCTTGGTGGTGTTTAATAGACATTTTTTTTTTATTTTTTGGAATAATTTTTCAATTTTATAAGTGAAAGTTACTTATGCTTCACCCATTTTTTGAAACATTAGTTTGGATTGAATTGTGTCTTCTTTTGTTAATGTGATCTGATGGTCACTCCATGGATGAAGAGAAACATCCAAGTTGAAAGTAATTCATTGGAGGTTGTTCATTTGCCATTCTAAGATTCACTTTCAGGAAACTAATCCTCCAACTAATTTTTCTTTAAAGCCTGAATCAATAGAGCAGTAATTTCAAAAACAACAAAACAAAAATACTCAAAAAACACTTCAAACTAATTACAACAAAATGGAAGAACATCAATCTCTTGTAATTGACAATGGTTCTGGAATGTGTAAAGCTGGTTTCGCTGGCGAAGATGCTCCACGTGCTGTTTTTCCTTCATTGATTGGTAGACCAAAACAAAGGTCAATTATGGTTGGAATGGGAAATAAGGATGCCTATGTTGGAGATGAAGCCATGTCAAAGAAGGGAATCCTCGCTCTCAAATATCCAATTGAGCACGGAATTATCACTAACTGGGATGATATGGAAAAGATTTGGCATCATACTTTCTATAATGAATTGAGAGTTGGTCCTGAAGAGCATGGTGTCTTATTAACTGAAGCTCCATTGAATCCAAAGGCAAATCGTGAAAAGATGACACAAATCATGTTCGAAACCTTTAGAGTTCCAGCCATGTATGTGGCCATTCAAGCTGTCTTGTCCTTGTATGCTTCTGGTAGAACTACAGGTATTGTTTTGGATTCAGGTGATGGTGTTTCACATACTGTTCCTATCTATGAGGGTTATGCTTTACCACATGCCATTTTAAGATTGGATTTGGCTGGTCGTGATTTAACTGACTACTTGATGAAGATCTTGATGGAACGTGGATACAGTTTCAACACCAGTGCTGAACGTGAAATTGTCAGAGATATTAAGGAAAAGCTTTGTTATGTTGCCTTTGACTTTGAAACTGAAATTAAGAAAGCATCTTAAAGTTCATCCATTGATACTTCATATGAATTACCAGATGGTAATATTATCACAGTTGGAAATGAACGATTCAGATGTCCAGAAGTGTTATTCCAACCTAATTTCATTGGAATGGAAGCTGCTGGTGTACACGAAACAACTTTCAATTCTATTGGAAAGTGTGATATTGACATTAGAAAGGATTTATATGCCAATGTTGTACTTTCAGGTGGTACAACCATGTTTGAAGGAATTGCTGAGAGAATGAACAAGGAATTGACAGCTATGGCTCCAGCCTCAATGAAGATTCGTGTTGTTGCTCCACCAGAAAGAAAGTATTCAGTTTGGATTGGTGGTAGTATTCTCTCTTCATTATCAACCTTTCAATCTATGTGGATCACAGCAGAGGAGTATGAAGATGCTGGATGTGCCATCGTTCATAGAAAGTGTTTCTAAACCAAGTTGACCCAAATCTATCATATATATTGTAAATAATCAAATTAAATTATCCTTATTATCCTTAACAATAGCCAGTCCAAATGAACATTTAACAATAAATTAGAGCATTAAGGTAAAAAGACTACAGCACCACAGGTTCCCAAGTTGTCTCCAACCTCAGTACTGATGTGGCTCGACGATGCTTAACTTCTCAAATCGGACGGGATGAGGTGCATTCATCGTGATATGGCCGTAGCCATTCAATTAACAAAAATCTTAATCATAAATAATACAACCTACAAAAACAAGCTCTTAATCATAAAAAATAAGTTTTTGTTTATGGTTAACACTTTTCACTTTTCCATTTGGAAACACATTGACGATATTGTTCAGTAGTTGCCAATTCTTCAATTGATTTCTTATTGACACAATAAGTAATGATTAACTACATTCTTGTAAATGTTTCATCAATCCATTGTTTCATGAATGCTGGCATTGAGTACATTGGAAATTGGAAGAAATAAATAAAGATGAATCCTGACCATCTATTTGTTTCAAGTTTGTAATGGAAACCAATTTCTCAAACCATTGAGAAAACAATCATATTCTAACCCACCTTCATCACAAATTATTACAATTGTTATGGTATTCAGTTGTTATTTCAGAAAACTTTCAATCATGCAGATTAATCTTTATAATGTTCCATATCAAGCATGTGGTATCTTGTTTTCTATTTATTGGGTTTAGCATTAGAGATGTCATTACATTTGAGAGTTATTTACAATAATTATTGATATGGACTGGTAATCTACCGAATTTGGATGAAAGAGACAAAGTACTGTTCATGCCCTTTCAGTTAATATCATTCACTGAATGTAAGTTATGAATTAACATGCTGTTTCAAGGTATACAATGCAATCTAATTGTTATCAGAAAGTTGAAGAAACGAACCTAAAATCAGCCAAGTTGTTTTGTTTGTGAAAAGATATTGTGATATCAACGAAATAATCATTTTCACAGAAAGTGAATCTGATTTTTCAGGATCCCTTAGTCCAGCCAACTGTCAACTAATCAACATCTATTCGAATGTTAAAAATGTCAGATTTTTCAACATCAACTTTAGTGTCCAAGTCATATTGTTTGACCTACATCAACATTTTAAAACAAAACAATCTTTCCATACATATGAAAGTGTCACCAATCATTGTCAATTTTCATTCACAAACTTGGAATAAGTTTTTTTTGAAACAAGCTGTCTTCCATCCTATCCACTTTCAACTAACAAGACTGTATGCAAAAGAAGAGACACACCAAAACAAACACACAAAAAAAGTGTATCCACTCAATGACTGCGATCACGATGATGGAAAATAATAATACATTATCTTCTTCTTACAAGACCAATAAGAACAACGAAAGCGATAACAAGAATACTAACAACAACAATAATAACATTAATAATATAACAATACATACGAGTCCATCGCTGCCATTAATGGAAGAATCTAAAGAACAAATATCTTCAACAACAACAACAATAACGGAGGAAAATATGAGTCAGATTGTACAACTGGGAGGAGATTTGACCATTATCGATAATAACAACAATAGAAATTCATCATCATCCTCATCAACTTCATCACCACTCAAATTATTTCTCAGCAAACTCTTTTCAAAGAGACGAAAATCACAAGCTGATAATGGTGCTAAGAATAATAACAACAACACCACTACTAATGGTTCTTCACCAAATAACTCTCAAAACTCTAAAAATCAAGCCTTTAAAAACCTTCTCACGCCCCACAGTGATTCCTCCTCATCACTGAATAATCCTAACAATAACATTTCGAATATCACAAGTCACTCCACCAACAATATTATCAACTCGAGTACGAGTGGAAGAAAATCGAAAAGACTTTCGGCGACCTTCTTTAAGAGAAGACACACCACTCAACTCTCGCAATCACCAATTCATAGCTCAACACAGGAAATTGAGAATTTCAGAGAGGAAGCTATTAAGAGACAAATTCAACAATCCAATCATGATGAGTTTATGTTTAACACTTCAATTGTACCTCCTACGACAACTAGTCCATCTTCTTCAGTGACAACAATTAATAGTGCAATCTCAATCTCACTCACTCCAAACAATAATAATAGTGGAAATACTCCACATCCTAACAGAACTAGAAGGAGTAGCTCATCAAAATCCATACCTGACAATGCAGATACATTCTTTGATGAAAACTCTGCTTTTGATATGGACGATTTAATGTGGATTACCATGGAACCAACCACAACAAGGACAAGTTTCCGACCAAAGACAGTCTCATCAAATTCTCTGATTAGTGTCACATCGAATAATGGTAATTCATCAACGGGTAGAAGAGACAGTGCTGCTCACAGTAGTGTTAATGATGAAGAGATTGTTGATGATTTGGAGGTAATCATTCCATGCATAACAATAGATGATGGTTCAGTGATGAGAACCCTCTCTCCTACAACTTCATCCACCACCACCACTAACAATAATTCGAGTATCATACAACCACCACCATCATCCACAAGACATGTTAATAGCTGGGATCTAGATGATGATATTGAAGCTGCCCACAATTCCTTTTCCTTCTCTCCAGGAAGTATGAATGCCTCCAACATTATCAATTTGTAAATTCACATACTACCATTTCTCGAGAGTCCCAATCTAGCAATAGTAATAAATTAATAATACGATTTGGAAATTTACTTTAATTTTTAATTAAATATTTTTTATTTTCAAATTTTAGCGCAAAAATCGTAACGGACAGCAAGTTTCATCAGCTGGAAAATATCATCTCAACCCACACTTAACGTTACTTCTCAACACTCTCTTCCGCTTTCTCTGACAATAATAATCAAAGGAAAACATAAGAGAAAAAATGACCAGCAAACAAAAACATTACGGATTGGATGATGGCATTGTTCCTGAAGCTTTTGAACTTCCATCGAAACAAGAGGTTATTGTGATGGAAAAGAATGGTAATATTCATGAAGTATTGCCTCCAAATATGCTCGATGGTGATGAAGTTAAAAGTGTAACGAGTACAACTTCGGATCAGGTTAACAAGGAAGAGGAAGAAGAATTTGAATATAAACCAGTAACAAATCTTGTAGAATATTTCAGTGATGAAAACAATCGTAAACAAATTGATGTTGTTCTTCACTGTTTATCAAAATTGGAAGAAGAGTCATCGGATAAAACAAAGGCTATGGAACACAACGGAAGATTTCAGTTTTTGTGTAATATTCTCTATGATTTGGATAAATATGAGCTTGAATTCTACATGTTACAATTACTGTAGGTTTATAATATTAATTATTTTGGTGATGATTTAAATTTCTTATTAGAAATACTTACATGATGAAAGCAGGAGATGGTGATTCACATTTGGAACGTTATATTCTTGAAATTTGCGCCAAGTCAATGCACTTTGGTGTTAAATTGAGTTGGTTATTGGATGCTGAATTATATACATTGGAAAATCATTTGGCACAAACACCAAATAATATCAAATTAAAGAAGAGAGCACAAAGAGGAATGATTTTTAGAAATTTAATTGAAAAAGTTACGATTAATCAAGTTGTTCCTATTAATTATATGAATGACAGTTTCCTGAATACATCAATTCTTCAAGTAGATGCTGAATTCACAGAAGACCAAACTGAAGAAGAGAAGAATAAGCTCTCTACATATGTTTTGCAAAATGTTTTTGCCAAACAAAGAAGATCCAATTATTTTAATGATGAACATTATTTCGTTCATTCCCTTACTGATTTATCCTATAGATTGAAGGCATATCCTCCAGGTGATATCAGAAAGCATCGTATGAAGGCAGAACTTGAACGTTTAAATCAATCAATTCCTTATGGTGTATATTATCCTTTGTGTGAATCACGTGATCCTCACTGTAGAATTTTGAGAATTTGTACAGATGCTTGTCGTGTTTTTAGTACAAAGGAAAGAGTTCCAATTCTTTGTGTTTTTGAAGTCCTTACAGGTGATGCACCATGTACTCAACCTGAAGATGTTATTCAATTTGATGAAACCACTGAAGAATTCAATATTTATGATGGAATTATTGTGAAAAAGAATGGAGATTGTACAGATTCACCAGCAACAGAAGAAAGCAGAATGATTGAAAGACGTATCAGCTCAACTTATCAATTTGATGTTACCATGGATGATGAAAAACACAAAAATGATATATTGGACGAAATAGATGCCACTTCAACAATTTCAGACTCTTCAGACTCTGGTCCTAGAAAATCTGATGCTAGCTCTATCCCTCAAACACCATCTACCTTCAAGTCAGAGCTCCCAATTTTACACATTCCAAATATCAATCAAGATGATTTTGTTCTTATTGAAAAGAAGGATCCAACCAGAGATGAAGAAGTTTTACATGATTTGGAATCTGTATTTGGTGAAAGCTTTGAAAAGATTAAGGCCAAGTATAGAGCTGTTTCACCTTATGGGTGTGCTCCTGGTTGGGACTTGAGATCTGTAATTGTAAAAGCTAATGACGATATTAGACAAGAAATATTTGCCATGCAATTAATCAAATTATTTGCCAGGATTTTTGAAGAAGAAAAATTGCCAATCTATATTAGGCCATATGAAATTATTGTGACAAGTGGAAATTGTGGTATGCTTGAAACAGTTCGTGATACTTGCTCAATTGATGGTTTGAAGAAGAAATTCCCTAACTTTACAAATCTCAAAGACTATTTTATTCGCGTTTATGGATCTCCAACATCTAATACTTTTATCAGAGCACAAACAAACTTTGTGGAAAGTGTTGTAGGATATTCACTTATTTCATATATTCTCCAAATCAAGGACAGACACAATGGCAATATTCTTTTAGATAGAGAAGGACATATGGTACACATCGATTTTGGATTTTTCCTTGGTATTTCTCCTGGTGGTGTTAAATTTGAAAATTCACCATTCAAACTTCCACAAGATTGGGTTGATTTGATGGGAGAATTATTTGATTTGCACTTTAGACCAGTATTTTATGTTGCTTTTGCTGCCTTGAGAAAACCTCGTAACATGAATAGATTATTGAACTTGGTGGAAATGATGATTGGCGCAAATTATAAATGCTTTGATGGTAATCATGCAAATATCATGAGAGATTTGAGAAATAGATTCTATCCAAATCAATCTGAAGAAGAATTTGCCAAGACAGCCAGAAAACTTGTAGATGATTCCATAGATAACTGGTTTACTAAGAGATATGATCAATATCAATACCTTACCAATGGTATTTTGTAAATTTAATAATTTGATTTGTAAAGTTTATGTTTAATTTAATTTCGCTTAGTTTCATGATTCGAACAATACTTTATCTTGTTAATTAATTTACTTTATTTTGTTATTAAGCCTCATTCGTTTGTGGATTTAGTACATAGTTATTAGTAAGGTGCATGTGAAATATTATTTTAGAACTGATAATGTCTCACACTTTTGATGGATAATATTGAGGAATTTTTTGCTCCATTCATGTGAAATAGGACATCATACATAATCAAGCTTTAATAAATATCTTACATTGTTTCCTTGAGTTCTAAGAGGATCGCTATCCCTAATACGTAAGTTCCACAGCTAAATAAGAAAGAGAAATTGATGTTTTAAAGTAAATATCCAGACCACATGTCATCCAAAATCTTAGTAACCTGCCATCCTGTTACTCCACCAAATAAGATGAATTGATTTGGAGCTGAGAGAGATCTTTGAATGACCATTGAACCCAATCTTCCTGTTGGGACAACATTTAAACTCTTGACAACATGCCATTGTTCCAAAATCATGTCAAAGTACCAAACATCATTCATACCTTGAGAAGAAAGAGCTTCACCACCAAAGATAAAGAATGCAGATGAGCTTGTGCTTGTTTGAAATATAGATTGACCACTTCTTGCTGGTGGCCAAACTTGTTGCTTATTGATTTGTGTCCATTCTTTGGTTATCAAACTAAACTTCCACATGTCATCAGTGTTGACGGATCCATTGCCACTCTTAACATACCCACCAAATACATAAATTGAGGAATGGCTCATTGCACTATAAAGAATTGGAGCATACATTCTAGGTGAAATAACTGGACTGTTGCCAACTGGTTTGATTTCAGTAAATTGATAATTAATCAACGAGAATACATAAACTTGATTATAAAAGTTATCATTCACATCCGAACCTCCAAACATGAGAATATAAGAATTATCGACACAAGTTGTAAAATGGCCAAACTTGGAAGCAATTTTAACTTGTTCCTCATTCGAATCATTGTTCACAACAATCCACTCTCTCAAGCTCAGATCAAACTTCCAAATCTGTCCATTCACAGAAGTCTTTCCACTCTTTCCTCCAATCACGTAAAAGTGCTTTCCACACATCACTGCAGAGGCATCTTTCAAAGCAGGTGGCCACGCCTTCCCTTCTTTTCTTTCAATTTGTGTCCAAGTAGACTCTTGATGATCAAACATCCACAAATCACTCAATGTAACAAACTTATTTCCAGTCCCTCCGTACAACATGGTCAGAGATCGATCAGGAGTAGAAGCAAAAGCAAAGTCAAATCGTGCTGAAGGTCCCGAAGCAAGGCTGGTCGAATTAAATTCAAGTTTCCATCCCATATAGTCCTGTTGTTGTTGTTGAGAGGAGGAAGTGTAGGAGGTTAGTACAGGCTCGACCATTATAGTTTTAATAATAATTATAATGAAAATAATGATGATGAATAAATAACGATGCTGATGATGGTGTTTGAAAGATGACGATGATGATGATGGTAAGAATGAAAGGCTCAGTGCCGATATAGCCATTTTTTTAATTAAGATTTTTATTATTTGCAAATTTGGGAAATTGATTTATTTGGGCTTTACTAAACCAACACCATCAAAATTGTGTTGAATATTAATTGAGTGTTAATGTTTGTTAAATATTAATTTATTAACATTAATGCAATACTTTTTTGAATATTTTCCTCATTTAAAATTGAACTGTTTTGTACTCAATTCTTCAACTAAGCCATTCAAGTACAGATCTTATCCAATGATTTGTGTTCTTCAATTTAATGTTTTTGTAAAGTCAAGGATTGAAACACTCCTTCAAAATGTGCGCCTTTTTTTCGGAGGTATAGGACACATTCAAGAACTCAAGTTAAACAAGTTAGTTTGAAAACACTTTCAAGAATAAGAAAAAACAAGATTATCAATCAGCAACAACATGGACCAGAAGGAAATTGCTCTTCTCGGAGGAACACAAGGAATTGGTAGACAATGCCTTTTGTTGATGCTAATTAAAGGATTGAAAGTGAGAGTATTGGCCAGAAATCCATCAATGTTGTCTTCACTCAATGAAAAGTACTCACACCTTCTAACAATTGTTAAGGGAGATGCCACCAGAGAGGAAGATGTTGCAAAATTGATTGCACCTTCAGTGGATCATGTATTGTGTGCTCTCGGGGCTCGTCTCAATGAACCTACCACTATTATTGAATCGGGAGTAAATAATGCACTGAAAGCAATGAAGAAATTGGATAAGGAGATGAGATTTGTGATGGTTACATCGAATGGAGTATTAGAAGCAGGAGTGAATTGGTTCTATGACAATATCATGAAGAAGCACTTGTTGAATCATTTCTATGATGATATGACAAGAGCTGAGAAGGCCCTTAAACAATTGACTGAAAATTCAAAGATTTCCTATGCAATTGTTAGACCACCTCAATTGATTGATGCCCCAGCCACATTAGAACTCATACATGGTGAAGGAGAATACTATCCACATGGAACACATCTCGTCACCAGAGAGGATGTTGGTGCATTCATGATTGAATGCTTATTTAACGAAAACCTCACCAAAGGAAATAGAGAATTCAATTTGAATACAACAAAAGTATTGGAAACCAAGATTGATAACATGCAAACATTGAAGAGTATTATGCCATATCCAAAGTATTTAATGATTCGATTGTTCATATTCTCAGTGATGACTGGAATTGGTTCATTGAGTGCTTTTGCATTGTACAAAATCAAATCATTGCTATTCCCTTCTATTGATATATCGAAAATAATTTCCTCTTGGTTAATTAAATCATTGGAATCAAATAAATAATTTAATGTTGATAATAATTTGTTTTCTTATTCTTTAAGTATTTATTATTGATATGATGAACATTGGTTTCCACTGAACTCTTGACTCGAATGTTTTGTAATTTTCAAAATCTAATAATAGCCCCAATTTTGCTCAAGTTCCATCAACACAGAAAAAAAATACACCTTGTTGTTGTAGCGTGCGATTTTTGATCAAAGACAAATTCATCATATCGTCATCACAGAGTGTGTTGTGTAATTTATATTAAAAAAATTTAAAATCATCATCATGAGTACCTTTGATTTGGATCAATATATTGCATCATACAGTGGTCTTACCAAGGTCAAGAGACTTGTATTTATTAGTGAAAATTCTAAAGATCTTCGCGGTAAAGCTCTTTCTAAACTTTTTGAATTATTAAAGAGTGGAAAGAACACAGCTCTCTACAAGGAACTTGTTGAAAAGTACGGAAAGGAGTAAGTATTGATCATTAGTATAGTTTTTATTGATGATCCTATTTTATTAGTGCTGGACAAACATTAGACAGCGAATGGATTACCCAAGTTGATCGATCAGCCACAAAACAACAAGAAAAGCTTGAAGTTGAACTTAATGCCCATAAAACAAACTTGATCAAGGAATCTATTCGTACTGGACATAATGAATTGGGAGATTTCCATTTGGAAAGAGGAAACTTGCAAGAATCATTGAAGAGTTATCTTAGAACAAGAGACTATTGTACATCATCTAAACATGTTAACGAAATGTGTTTGAATGTTATTCGTGTCAGTGTTGAAATGGGTAACTATGCTCTTGTCAACCAATATGTTACAAAGGCTGAAAATACTCCTGATGTTTCTGAAGGAACTGACATTATTACCACATCAAAGATTTTGGCATCTTCTGCTTTGGCTAATCTTGAAGGAAAGAAGTATAAGATTGTTGCTAGAAAATTATTAGATTGTGAAATTGTTTTAGAAAATTCTTTCAATGATGTAATTACTTGTAGTGATATTGCTCTTTATGCTGGTTTGACAGCTCTTGCCACCTTTGATAGACGTGAATTGAAGGAAAAGGTTTTGTCTAATAATAAGTTTAGAGCTTTCCTTGAATTGGAACCTGATGTTTCAAATATTATTAATTGTTTCTATGAATCCAAGTATACTGCTTGTTTGGAATCACTTGATAGATTACTACCAAGATTATTGTTAGATATTTATTTGAAGGAACATGTTACTACTTTGTATGAAAAGATCAGAAGCAAGGCTTTGGTACAATATGTCAGTACTTTCACTTCTGTTGACATGAATAAGATGGCTGTTGTTTTTAACACTACTGTAGAAAACTTGGAAAAGGAAATTGCTGCTTTAATTATGGAAAAGCAAATCAAGGCCCGTATTGACTCACACAAGAAGATCCTTTATGCTCGTGTTACTGATATTCGTAATGCCACCTATCAAAAGGCTTTGGAAATGGGTGATTCATTTATCAGAGAATCTGAAGCTTGTATTTTGAGAATGAACATTAACAAACAAAAGGACTTTGCTGTTAAACCAAATAGAAAACTTGCCAAGCAAATGATGTTCTAAATAAATAAAAAACTACTGTATAATTAATTGTATTTACAAATTGTAAAGTTTGATTAATTTTAAAAATTAATCTGTCAATTCTTCAATTCTCTTGACTTCTGTTGATCCATCACTGTTAAAAGCTCCAATACCTAGACCATCCTCTTGTAAGATATCATCTACTAATGTACAAATTTTACCATAATTACGAATGACAGTATCTGCATCTTCTGGTGTTTTTCTACAAACTGCTTTACACCCCTCCATAACACCTTTACATGCTTCTCTAAGAGCTAATTCTCCATGATCTTCATCTCCTACAACGAAGAATAAAACTGATTGAATTCTTGTGAATACAATCATTCTCTCATTCATGAATGAAAATACTTTGAAAAATCCATCAGGTTGGGGCACTGAACCCTTGTTGACTCTTCTTACATAATCTACAATTGTATCGGCCCAAGCAATATTTTGATTTTTAAAATCATTATTCACAATTGAAGAGGTAAGTGCTGCTTCACTTCCAACAAAACTACCTCCCGATTTTTGTGCCATCATCATTGTTGTACTCATTGATGATCTCTTCTTTGGTGAATAGGAAGTAGGTTTTGAAAATGATCCTAATAGTCCAACATCATCCGATTCCGATAATTGTTTTTGTTGAAATGATGTAGAAAGTGCTGAGAGTATTGTTGGTGATTTTCTTGCGAACAATACTTTGAAAAAGTCGTCCGTTATTATTACTCCATCAAGCATTTTTTTTTAAATTTAAAAATTTATTAAATTTAATTTAAATATTACAATTAACTATTTACTGTAATTACCTTTACTTCTTTAAATTTTGTAACATTAATAATTGTTTAATAACATGCAAATTCAAAATTTAATTTAAAAAAAATACATGAAAGAAAAAACAAAGAAACCCAACATGGCCAAAGTTTCCACTGGTTTTTTAATTGAAGATGGTTCGGGATCATCACCTCTCTATCTAATGTGCCACACTACATGTCATAAAAAACCTCCAAAACAACCAATTTTACCATCAGAAACTGATGAAAAGTGGACAGTTCCGAAGGGAATTATTGATGAGAGTAATTCAAGTCAGGTTGGTGATGATATTGAAATTGAAACAGCAATTAGAGAATTGAAGGAAGAAACTGGTATTGATTTGATTGGAAATGAAGTTTTGAGAAAGGAGTTTTATGATCCATTTCTCAGCAAGACTTTGAAATTTAATCTTCATAAGGAGTACAAGATTAAGGCAAAAGTTATCAGAATTTACTTATTGAAGGATAGTAAAGGATTAATTAAGAGTCAATATGATACTTCTGCTATGAAATGTACATCTCTGATTGATATCGATCATCCTTTGAAGGGGTTTCCAGAGGTTGATGCCTTTTTGTGGGTCACAAAAGCACAAGCTTCTAGAATTGCATTGAAATCTCAAAAGGTTCTTTTCAAATAATTAATGTTTCCAACCATTTGAATGACCTTGTTCTCTGTAAGGTTCTAAAAATCCTCTAAATATCACTTGATTTGAATTGGTGGTATCTTGATCAGATTTGATAGAATTATTTCCCCTTTTATACACCCATCTAGATCCATATCCTTCAAAATTTCTCACTTCAACACAAGGAACATTATGAGGAAGAATGTGTGCATTAATAAATGTTGCCTCATTTACAATCTTTTCTAAAATTGCAAGAGATTTTCTATTCTTTTCCTTGGCATTTCCAGTTAAGACAGTAGAACCTCCCCAAAATTGATCAGTTTCACTTCTGTGACAATGCTTAGCAAGAGCTCTGGCTCCAACTGTGAGACCACTTGTCTTTTCCAAAACTTCATTAAATGAATCAATTAATTCCTTATAGGTTGGTATCATGTATGAAATACTGCCTGTTGTTTTCCTCATCCTTAGACAGGTTTGAAATCCTCTTAATTTCATTTCCAGAATAATTTGTTGAACATGTTCATCCAAGACTGTTTCCTCAGTACTGAAATCCGTAGAGTTCAATTTCAGAATTCTATCTGTAAATTTTGAACTGAGCTCTGTGTAATATTCAAAATCATCTTCAATGCTTGGAAATTGTTGGAATTGAATTGGGAATTTTCCTTCTCTACCCCATAATATCCAAATGAAAGCAATCTATCTCAATAATCGAATTAGAAATAAAATCAAAATATTTACCTCTTGGAAAATATTTGAAACATTCAATGTTGGATAACCAATTAATATTTTCTCTCCATTCTCCAAATTATGATATTTTACAAGATTTAATAAATTAGCATCATCATTAATATTTTCCTCCTGATCGGAATTTACAAAATTCAATCCAAGGGCTTCCTTCAAGTACTCAGCAGAGACTGCAATCGGAGTGGGATCTTTAAATTCCTGTTGCTCATCTGATCCTAAATCATTATTCAACTGAGGGGAATGACAAATCCATTCACTAAATAAATTGCTATCATTTAATATGAAGGAAATTGATTTCCGAATACAATTTGATAAATTACAAATATTTGGCAACATGTTTTAATGTTATTGTATTTTTTTTTAATTTAAAAATTTCAATTTTAAAAAACGGATCGCCTTTATGGACGACTATTTCAAAAAGTTTCAGAAATTGTAAGTGTTCATAATTGTTTTTATTATTTCCAATAACTTCAACTTGTTCGAAACATCCCAAACCTTCATGTATTTTCATTACCCAAAAGACAATCTTCAAAAGGAAAGTTGACCCACTAATCAAACCCACAAAAATATCAATTGAATACCATTCTAAGTGTTCCACATCTTCAAATTTCAATCCTCTCTAGAAGAAACTAAACTATTCAATAATGATTGGTGTGTGAATGGCTCAAATAATACAACCAATACCAAGTATCTCATCTGTGATATCAGAAAAAGCCTTCAGTATCACCAACTCACTCCCAACTCTCTGTGAACGAATGTTTGAAAATCAAAAACTTCCTCTGTCAATTTTATTGTTGTTTGCCACTTTCCAAATCTTCCAACCTCAACAACACACAAAAAAAAGCCTTCAACCGCGCTCGCTGCGACACCCAACAAATCTCGTCAATCTTTTTTTTGCCGCCACTTTCCAGCAGCGTTTTCAACGTCGATATTCTCTCTTCTTTGAAAAAACAACTTTGCGTCGTCATTGTCGAGGACTTGATATAAACTCATCAAAGTCATCATACATTAGAATACACTAATAATATACACATCATCTCGTTTTTGTTATCTTCTTCTTCATTAACGAAAAATATAAAGGGTGAGTGATTTGAAAGATTGTGTTTTATTTAAAATATCAAAAAGAAAATGGCCGAAATTAATTTACAAGAAGCTATTTCAAATGCCAGATTAGAGGCACAACAATTGAAGGAAAAAATCAACGCACAGAGAAAAGTTATTAATGATGTGAACAGTAAGTGTTTTTATTGTGTGAGGTTTTTATAATTTACTCTTGACATTTGACAAACATCATCAACATGTTGGAAATTTATGATGATATTTTATTATTAAAACTAAATAGTGAAGGATTTGGATGTTGCTGAAATTTCACCTCTCAAATTAAAGGAACGAAGAGTGTTTAAAGGACACTCATCTAAAGTTGCTAGTTTAGCTTGGTCAAAGGACTCGAAGACAATTTTGACTGCCGGCCAAGATAGAATGTTAATTGTAAGTTTAGGAAGTGGTAATAATGATTTGATGACACTTTTTAGTTATGGGATGCTGTGACAACATATAAATTGAGTGCTATTCCTCTACAAGCTCGTGGTATTATGTGTTGCGATTATAGTACGAGTGGAAATTATGTTTGTGTTGGTGGTTTGGATAACATTTGTTCAGTTTGTAAGTAATTATTATCAATAATTATGATGTTAATAAGTTTCGAATAGTTTCCCTTTCTGCTGTTACTCAACAATTACAAAACTCATCCAATGAATACAAGCCATTCAGGCAACTAGTAGGACATACAGGCTATTTGAGCTCTTGCAAATTTATTAGTGATCGTCACATATTAACTAGTTCTGGAGATCAAAGTTGTATTTTCTGGGATGTTGAAATGACTCACGCGGTGTCACATTTCCAAGTAAGTATTATTCAATATTAGAAATGTTAACTATTTAATTAGGAACATACTGGTGATTGTATGGCTGTTTCTGTTTCTCCTATTGAACAAAATGTATTTGTTAGTGGAAGTTGTGATGGTAGTTCAAAGTTGTGGGATGTACGTATGAATAAGTGTGTTGCCACATTCACTGGTCATGAAGGTGATATCAATTCAGTTCAATTTTTCCCTAATGGAAATGCCTTTGCCACTGGTTCTGATGATTGTACTTGTAGATTGTTCGACCTTCGTGCTTCACGTGAGGTTATGACCTATTCAGATGATAATGTCAGAGAAGGTGTCACTAGTATTAGTTTCAGCAAATCTGGACGTGTTTTATTTGCTGCCTATGAAGATAAGAAAGTTATTGCTTGGGATTCATTGAAAGGAACCATTTTACAAACTTTGGATGGCCTTCCAAATGGTCACGATAATCGTGTCAGTTGTTTGGCAGTTTCTCCTGATGGACACGCTCTTGCCACAGGTTCATGGGACATGACCATGAAGATATTTGCTTAAATTATTTAAAGCCAACACATATCTTTCAGAAGTCAGTCATTTTCTCGATCATCATTTTCAATTCCCATCCTTATATTCTCCTCAGTTTTCCCCTTTTCAACTCCATTAATAAAAACCATCTTAATTTATTCTTAAAACTTTTCCAGCTCCAATTATTTGTTTTCCATTCATTAAGATGACTCTTCCTAGAATATCATTCTGTTCGAATGTGTGCAGATAACATGCCTTGTTTTCTTTTGTTATTAGTGGCTTTAGCCTTACTTCTGCAAAATCACCCTTTTTCAGTTTGTTTGGATAGGTTTCTAATTTCTGGTTCGTTTTTGGATTTACAGTTGCTAATATATCTTCTATTTTACAAAGGCATTGATTAGTGACACAATTATAAAGTTTGAAAGTGTATCCAACTTTGATTCCATTCTTTGGTTGATTCATAATCTTTATCAAAGCTGTGAAAGATTCCACAGCTTTTTTTTCTGACTCCAGGTAAGCTTGGTCATGTATTATAAAATGTGTTTCAACATCTCGTACAGAAGCTTGTTTGATATTGATTCCACAAAACTCTCCACAAACAACTAGATCACGATGCTCATATCCTATTTCAATAGATTTCACCAGATGTGAACTGTCATCTCTGAAATAAACTTGTTGGTCCGTTTTAATCTTACCAGTTATTATTTTCCCAGCTACTACTGTGCCAATTCCACCGATTCTGTAAATTTGAAATATAACCATCATTAGAGGTTTTTCAATCCATTCCTTTCTTGGTTCAACTTGAATTGCTTTTAATACAGATTCTAATGATTTACCCTTTGAAAATTCACCAGTAGTTGGTTTGAAAATGTTTTCATCCCTGTCATAACAAATAGGAATGAAAGGAACGTTTTTCCACAATAAAATAGTTTTCAATTTTGATCTAATTTCCTCCAATCTTGAATTCAATTCAATTACTGGTATTGTATCACATTTTGTTAAACAAACAACCAAATGGGTCAATCCAACAGCTGCAGCTATTTGTAAATGAGTTCTCATATTTCCAATAGAATTATTAATATCCTTTTCAAATACTCCTTTTGTGACATCCACAACCAATACACAAATATTTGATAACCAAATAGCCTTCACCATACAATCGATTTTCTTCTTCTGTGTTGTAGATACATCCAACAAGGTCATTACTTCATTATCCTCCCTATATTGTTTATGAGAGAGTGCAATTTTTATCATCCCTTCCCGATCAGGATAGTATACATGAGATGCACACATTCTATATGCACCCAATCGATCGGTCTGATAATTATTCATATTTCTTAAAATTGTTCTCTCATCTGGATTTATGATCTTTCCGACAAGTGTTGTTTTTCCAGACTTTTCAGCTCCAATGAATGAAATATTTTTTTGTTGCACCATTTTCTTTTTTTTGAATTTAATTTTTTATTTCAAAATTATTAAATTTTACATCTTCTGATCAGCGAGTTCAAACTTGAAAGTTGTAATTAACATATTTTTCTGTAATAGTGTGAAGTTGTAATCACCTCTCCCTTATAACTTTCTTATTTTACTCATCCAAGATCAATTCTCCATTAACATTAGAAGTACAGTAGTATCTGACAACAAACGATTTATAAATTTAACAACTTAATTTATGAGGAAGTTTAAGCTGCGGGGTGCAACATCACTAAGTAATTCCATTTCATGTAGGAGTTTCTTCAAATTGTATAGAACTAAATAATTAAGGTTTAAAATCTATATAAATATCTCCACTGAAAACCTGTTTACCAAATACATTTCTTTCAACAGTTTTAAATAACGTAGTAGTTTTACGTAACAGAATTGATTCAATATCTATATCCTTTAAAAGTGCTGCTTCTTTACATTTTTCATCCACAATAGCACCTTTATGAAGTAAACATTCTATTATCTCAATATAATAGCCATTGATTGCAGCATAGAGAGGAGAAACATCACCTTGGTTGACCTTAATTTCTTTTGCTTCCAATAATAATTTGACAATATCTAAATATCCTCTTTTGCATGCTGCATAAAGTGGCGTTGTAGAAATACGATAATCACTACTATCGTGTGGTAATTCACTATAGACATATTCATCTTTCATTGGTTCCTAAAAAAAGAATAAACTATTAAGGATATTTAATTGGGAAAGTACTTACATCATAATTGTAAATAGTTCTGTTGACTTCAATATGCCTACATTTTAATAGCAATTTAACCATTTCATAATCACCTGTTTTACAAGCATAATACAATGGAATGTCATGTTTATCAAAATGTTGAAATATAGTACACATTCTATAACAACCAAAATTTACATTAATCCCATCAACTGTTAATAATAACTTTACAATATCTCTAAATCCTCTGGTGTAGGCAGCAAATAGAGGTGAACAACTATCTGTATAACAGTGCACTCCATAGTTTACATCAATTCCTTCCACAGCTAACAATAATTCCACAATTTCAATATTTCCTTGTACACAAGCAGCAAATAATGGAGAATAATAAGCATCTCGACCATTAATATCAACATCATCACTACCACCACTTGATAATATTAATTTAACACTCTCGACATCACCCGTTGTACAGGCTTCAAACAGAGACATTTTTTTTGAAAATTGTTATTCTCACACGTTTGCAAAGGTGAAAACCGATGATGCAAAGTTCAAAAAAGTTCTCAACTTAATGCTTGGACCAATCACAACACATTCTCATAGCTCCATACAAATGTATAATTGAAATATTTCCCACCAAGTTTGTCAAAAAAGAGCAGGTCCCGAGATTGTCGTTTCAGTTTGCTTGTTGCTACATCAACATCATGATTCCAAAGTCTTCTGTTGAAAATGGCAATGTTCAAATTATGTTTTTATCAATTAATTATAGCTTGCAAATAATTACTGTAGTTGTTAATTAACTTGATAACAGTATCTTGGTTGTTGAACTGGAAAAACGAATTCTTTTGTTCCCATTCTCAAAGTCACATGTCACAAGAATTGCACTCAAAAAAAATGTTCAAACACCTCGCTGGCTCAATTGTGGTCTTGCTCCTTCTCTGCATAGTTGTATGCAACTCTCTACAACTTCCATTACCAACAGCAACTGAGAGTCTTGGTTTTCCTGCTCCAATTTCTCAACTCGATGCCAAGAATAGAGTTTTGAAAGCAATTAGTGAAAAGTATTCAAATCAATTAAAAACAATGATTGGTACATTGAATAAGATGATTGAAGATCAAAGTGCTTTGGGAGATGGTTTTATCGTGGCTAGTTTTAAAGGAAATGTTATGCACCAAGTTGACTGTCAAAAGTATGGAAGTGCTGTATACCAAGTATTGAAAGCACATTACAACAGACATGGCTATCAAACCATGTATAGTTGTAAAGTATCAGGTGATGTTGAAGGTTATTGCATGATAAACATTCGTATTAATTTTGTGGAACAATAAAGTTCCAAATCTTTTGACTCATCTCACACTTGCATTTAATATCAAGTTATCAACACTGCCATCAACTTTTACCTTACATTATTAACTGTTTCAAATAAAACCTTGTTTTTATTGTAATACTTGTTATTTGCTATTTGATCTCTATTTTGGAGAAAAATAGATTTTTTCATACTTATTTAAAAAATGGCAGACAATACACAGGAAGGAGATTTGGGTTTTGAAGTAGTGGATGCTAGTAGTGCTGCTGCTATTGATGATGATCCACAGCAACAACAAGAACCGGAGACTATCGAAGAGGGATCCTTGATGGTGGAAGACTCTTCATTGGTGGAAAGTGTTGGTGTATCAGAGGAATTAGTGAGTGGTGAGGCTATTGTGGTCGATTCCAACAATAATAATACACAAATATCTTCTTCATCATTATTATTAAATACAGAATCATCAAAATTAGATAATAGTAGCTTAAAATTACAAAAACCATCAATTCAACCAAGAGTAATTCCTGGACCTCCAATTTATGATCCGAACAAATTTCCCATCATGGATGGTGGTCATGGAGGTGTTTTAGTTACCGGAATGGCAGCAAGTGTTTCATCTTCTTTGAGTTCTGGTAATGTGATTTCTTCAATTTTAGGTGCATCAAAAGAATTTTCATCAGTGTTACCATTCCAATTTCCTTTCGATTCGTCTTCAAATGAAAAATTCACTCTCAGCAATGTTTATCAAGATAATGCTGAAAAGTTCAAGAAATTCAAATATAGATCAGTTTGGGGTGCTAATAATTTATTGGCCTATTGTTGTCAAACTCATGTAATGATCTTTGATCCAGTTTCTATGCAACAAGTAACTTCATTGTTTGGACATAGACACGTAACAACTTGTGTTGAATGGTGTGAAATGTCAAAATCAAGAGGAATTGAAAGAGGTAATACTAATATTGTTGCTAGTGGTGATGAAGGAGGATGTATTATTGTGTGGGATTATAAAAAAGGAAGAAAACTTTGCAGTTTTGCTGAGGACTATGGTAATACCAAGAAGAGTATTGTACAAATCAAGTGGTTGAATGGTGATAATGTTTACTTACTTTCTTTAGCTGCCAATAATGTCTTGTCCTTGTGGAATGTTCAAAGTAATACTAGAATTTGGGATCTTGAATTCCCTGACACAATTACAGGATTTTCTTTGGATCCATTTACTTTAAAGTCATGTTGCTTACCAAGTGAAAGTGGATGGTCCTATTTTATCAATGATATTAATATTAAGAAGAAACCAATCGATATTCAAAGAAGACTTCATGGAAGTATTGACAAAAAGACAGGAGCCACTCAAACCTCATTGAAAGATTTTATTTGTTCTCCACACACTCGTGATCAATTTTATGTTGTGACCAAGAAGGAGGTTACAACATTTGATTTAGCCATCAAACAAACAATTCATGGAAAGCAACTCAAGGGAGGAAGAGCAGACTTCCAAACATTATATCCTATTGAATCTGAACCATCTGTTTTTTACTCTCTTCATGATGATGGAACTGTTTGTGTTTGGGAATATAATGGTGAAAAGTTTGAACCAAATGTTTGTGATGTTGTTAGAGGATCTAAACATGGTGCAGATAGACCTGGATTACTTTACGGACTTTCAATTTCTCCAATCGATCACTCAAAAGTAGCTGCTGTGAGTGCAGATGGTAAGATTTGGATTTGGAGAGTCAACCTTTCACACAAAATCAAGACACCACCACAAGAAGCTAAGCCAGTTGAAGAACAAGTACCAAGCTCAAAAATCAAAGTTAACACCAAGTGGATGCTTGAAGGATTGGCTGAATATACAGGATCTGTAATTAGTAGTATCAAAGTTTCTCCATTTGATGATAAAGTAGCAGTCGGAACAATTAGTGGGTTACTATTGGTATACGATTTACTTACTGGTAACGTGGTAGTTAAACATGATGTATTTAATAATTCTCCTGTATTGGGTATTAGATGGTTTGGAGCAAGTTCTGTTCTCTGCTTCTCATCTTCAGTCTATGAAAAGAAGAAGGATAGAAAAAGTAATGAATTGAGAATTGTCAATCTCGTTTCTGGTAAACATACCACAATTAATGTTAATCGTGAGGATCAACATAAGAAGGAAGAATCCAAAGCTGGAGGAATTAAGGGTATCAGAATTAGTAACAGTTACAAATATCTTGTAATCATTTTACAGGACAGACCAATAGAAGTATGGAGATTGGACACTCTCAAGCTCATTAGAATGATTCCATTCTCAAATGTGACATCTCTTGAATGGGTTCCACTTTCTAAACATCACCCAGAACGTGAATTATTGTACTTTACAACTACTGATGGATCTTTGCATTTCTATAAGGTCGAAAATTATAAGGTCGAACCAGATGTTAAAAAACCAAAGGTATTTGTAAATACCATTACTGCCCTAGCTTGGAAGAATGATAGACTTGTTTCTGGTGATGTTACAGGTACCATTACTGTTTGGGATTTGCAACACAAAAAAACCAAAACAATTCAAACACACAGAGGTTTAGTTAAGAAGATCAGTGTAAGCAAGGAACATAATCACATTTTGGTATTGTTCAATGAGGGAGACTTTGGTATTTGGGACTTGGATCAATATGCCAAGGTTGCCAATTCTCCTCCACATATCAAGGCCGTTGCCTCAGACTGGTCTAGAGGAAATTATCCTGTTGTTGCCACAAATAGTGGTTCCATCCTTGTATTTGATATTCAACTTAGTACTTGTAACACTAATGTATTGTTCCATACTCGTCTGGATCACCTTAAGAATCCTTGCTCACTTAAATCAGATGAAGCTCAATATTTTAGAGCTCTCATCGAAAATAACAAGCTTCCATTTGATGATATGGTTGATGAAAACACAATAATAGATGAACCAAATACATACAGAAATTGTTGTGGAGATGTCATTGATAATAAGAAAGTCAAGGAGCTTTATGAAAAGGCTCTCGACCACAGATATTTACTTCCTCAAAACATGGTGGTTAAATTGAAGAATCCAAGTACAAATACTGCTGAAAGATGCTTGATTGCTGCTGAATACTTTGGTGATAAGATTGCCTATCAATTCTGGAAACTTGCTATTGAATTTTTGGGCAAATTCAGCAAGCAAAATATCAATCCTGCTGATATTCAAAAAGAGGCTCCACCTGCAGAAGAGGACCACTTCTTCACAGAACAAACAGAACTCGAAAGATTTGATTCAAACGTATGCTATAGATCATCTCTTCCTTCCACTTTTGATTTATTAAGAGATAATGACTCTGTTAGAAATGAAGAAATGAAGATTTTACAACAACATGATCAAACTTTACAACACAAGATTAAATCTGGAGCTCCAACAGAACAAATTCAAGATTTATTCTCGCTAGTTGCCAGAAGTGAAAGTGAATTATTGCAAAAGGATCAAGCAGTTAAAACCTTACTTCAAACACCACTCGACAGCAAAAACTTGTATGCCAACTTTTTACATGCTACTGTATTAGCAGCATCTAACTCACCATCTCACTTTAAGGAAACTGTACAATTCGTTGCTAGTTCTTTAATATCTTTAAAGAAGGACAATGATATTGAATTTGGTGTACAATTACTTTGCTCGATAGGTGAGGGATTGAAGGCATGTAGAATTTTACAAGATTTTGATATGTGGGAAAAGGCAGCAAGAATTGCAAAGAGTATTCTCCCAGAACATGAGTCCATAATTGTACTCACCAAGTGGGCAGATTATTTACAGAGCAATAACCAATTGTTGAAATCTATTGGTGTATGGATGAGTTTGGGACTATTCAAGGAAGTATTGGATCTTCTCCATAAATCAGAACTCGATGATATTGCCTCACTCTTCACAAAGGCCTATGACGAGTATTTACCTCATCTTCCACTCAATGAACTCCACAGATATTTTGTTTTGAGAGTTTCTTCACCATCCAAACTAAGTGAACCATTGTACAGCAGTAGTAAGAGTCATGATGATTTTGAAATGACATGTAGAAAGCTCAAATACTTTGTCTACCAGCAATATGCAGTTTTCCTTGATAAGATTGGATGTAATGAATTGGCGGATAATTACAAAGTTTTAATTGATGGAAAAGATATTGGACTAACTCTTCCACCTAATAATTTATCATCTCAATTACCACCAGAAGAAAGTAACAACTCTTTGGATTTGAACCGTCAAGAAAGTTGGGTAGTTGTTGATTCTGATAACAATCAACCACCACCAGAAGCCTCTCAAATCTCAACTGATATACCATCTGAAGACATACCAACCTCTGCAGAAGAATAAATATTAAATTTTATTATTATCACTAATTGAGTAACGTAGCTACGAGGTGTCTATAAGCTTACTCAACTTTAACAGTATTCCTTTCTGAAGAAAAATCTTCTCTAAAATTACTTTGTGCCAAACCAAGTTTTGTAACGGCAATAACAAAACAATCAGTTGTAATAAATGCTATGGTCAGTCGTGCTGGTAACCACTTTTTTTGTTTTCCACACTAAAGTCACCAATAAAATATCACCTATCACATAGAGAACCAATACCAATTTTTAAAAAAAAACTACAACAAACACAACAAACACGATCACGATGGGCATCAAGAAAAAATCCACTACCAAGAAGAAATCCAATCAAACCAATAAGAGAAAGCGTGATGAAATTTCCAAGAGAGAGGCCAATCCAGCTGATGAAAACAAGATCCATGACATTCCAACTGTAAGATACATCTTTGGGAACAGAATTTGCAACAATGTAGCATTTGTGGAAGATGTTTATTGCAATTTTAAGCCATATGATGTTGCTTTGATCAGGGCTCTCTTCAAAGCTCAAGAACAAAAACACCAAACGCAAGATTTTAATGAAAGTTTGATCAATAATGTAGGGAAGGATGATGATCATGATTGTGATATTGCTTTGTTTGAGTATTATGACACCACAGACAACAAAACTAAACTTTATCAAAATAGAAGAAAGGCAGTTAGTATTACACTTTCTCAAAAACAAAGCAATGTTTATTTTTTTTCTAAATGTGCTAATTACAGTGCTTTTACAACAAAGCCAATCAAAGCTTGCTTTGAATTTGATGATTACAGAGTTTACAAATGTAAGGAAAGCAATTCCAAGCAGGCTGGTAAATTCTCCTACCGAACTATTTCATCTACCTTGCTTAAACCAACATGTGAATCAACTTGTGGTTGGATTTTAATGAATCCAATCAATAGATTTGAAATTATTGATGTTATATTTGATATTGAAATGTATAATGAATTGAAAGATATTCCAAATATTGATTTACAACAGAGAAAGATTGATGATGGAGAGAATACTGATAAACCAATCACCCTAACTGAAATTCCTATTATCAATGACAATCGATACGATAAAGACGATCACATTACCGCATGTATTGGTGATTTAACCAATGATCAATCTGTATTTGAATCACAAGTCAACCATAACAATCAGGTTATAATGTCTATCCCTGATTCGCCTCCACAAACTACTCAACCATCTGCAAATCCTAGTCCTGCTCAGCCTTGTGAAGAACACAATAATGAGCAGTACAATTTGCTTCCTGCTTTGAGTTCCAAAAAGCCACTACTTGATGAAGTCTTACTTGATATGAAATGGTGTAGCTATGAAGAAGAGTTCCGACAAGAAGCCACTAGTTTTAATAATTACTATGATGATAGATTATGAATCATCTACTAAACCAATTTATTGTCCACCATTATGAAATTGAGAGTTAAGCATCTAGAGGTTGAATAAGGGGGAAGCACCAAATCAAGCACAATTTACCAACTAGTTCTATAAATTTATTCAACCTTAACAGTCTTGTCTTCACTTTGGAAGAAAAATCTTCTCCAAAATTGCTTTGTGCCAAACCAAGTTTCAATAAAACCAGCAGTATTATTTTCATTGCTCAAGAACCATTCAAACCAAACATGACACAAAACAACTCTCAAGAAGAGATAGAGAACCAAGCCCAATGGACACAACATTAAAGTCAAAAACACAAGAGCTGCAGTGATAATATGTGGAATTCCTCTGGCGAGGGAATCATAATAAATCAATGTGCAAACTATTACAATTATTGAAATTCCAATATAATTAATCTCAATAAGAAAAAGCAAATTACTTACCAATTGGATCAGTGACCAAGTAATGCACCCAACCTCCCAAAACCATCACCTTGTTTGTAAATGCCTCAGCAACAGAATCAAATGAAAAGAAATCAATTGGCTTTGGTGAAGTCATCATTGCAGTAATAATTATAGCAGAATAAACCAACGACAAGACAGCCATTACAACCTTTGATCGGAGCAAGAAATTAGTCAATCGTGTATTTGGAAGCAAAATCATTGGCAAAACAATAAGTAATGGAAATCGATTAGCAAACTTGAAAATCATACTCAAATTTTCATTACTACTCAAGTAGAGTGATGATTGCTCAAGGAGAGCTTTATGATCAACATATTGCAATATTTGTTCCATCTTTGTGGCTTTATCGGATTTTTTTTAAATTGCTAAAATTTCTTTGCTTAACTTGGCGGGAATTTAATTCTTTCTGCTCAACAACAATAATTGAATGAGATAAATTGATAGGGTGGACAAAAGTTCCATGGACATGAAATGGTTTATGTTCGGGTACGACAATGTGCACAGATAATGGCCGTTAAAATATGCGAAAAATTAAAATGTTCACCAAATTCAATATTATTGTAAAAATATTAATAATTTAATACTATTTCATACAATATAACACAATTATTAAATTCCCACATCACCAAATTAATTCATTTCCAACCAATATCATCAATAATTATTTCAAAAAACATAAAAAAAATGCAACCCATTCGCAAATCAAAAGTAGGCTCAGCCTATTCTATTGGAGACATGTCTAATTGGAAAGTTGTAACTGCTAATTCGCCTTCAATTATCAAGGAATCACCCCCAATGGAAGTTGATAAATCAATACTAGTACCTACAACAACAACAATATCGGAACAACATGATCAAAAACAACAACAGGATATTGTCTATGACTCGAGTGATAGCTCGGATGAAGGAGTGATGGATAGTGCCGATAGTAGTACAGAGGAAAGATTTCCAAGGCCTACACGATCTCAAACAAAATCAAGAAAAAGAACAACCATGGATAAGAATACAAAACAAAATGTAAATTATAAACCACCTGCAACTGTAGTGGATGATCCAACTGCAGAGGTTAGAAAAAACAAATTGGCCTTAATGAGATTTTCTGATATTTTCCAAAGAGAAGAGGAAGACACAAAGGATGATAAAGCCATTACAGTAGATAATGGAGATATTATTTTGGGATCTGAGGATAGTAGTGATGATGAACGTTTTACAGCTGCTCTTCAGGCTGGAATTAATCGTTCCAATCCCAATAAGAAGCAAAAACTTACAGTTGAAAAAAGTCAACAACCTTCATCATCTTCTGAAGTGAGCACTCCTAAAAATTCAGCTTCCTCTTCAACTAATTCAAGCACTTTGAAAAAGAAGGCAGCAAAACAGGACTGTGTACTGGTACCTAATTCTGCTCTCTTCAGATTTGTTTGTTCTTGCTCAACTGTAAAGGAGATTAGATACGAATTACAAGAGGATTTTGAGGATGAAAAACATGTATCCTCCAGAAAAAAGCACAATATGAAATCATCATCAAGGAAAGGAAGATTGAGCACAGAGGAGGTTAATTTTATAAGGAAATATTACAACATGTCAAAGGATATTCGTATTGCAAAATATCATATCCCTTTAAACAAGTTCAAAAATGTGGAATCATTGGATGATGGAATTATTAGAACGTGGGAGGATTCTAACGAAGATGAAGTCAATTTATCAAATATCAAACACTTTGTCTCTATAATTTTAGGAAGGAGTTTTGATCTCATTTCTTCACAATGGAAAAAATTTGAAAAGAAGGATGATATTTGGCACAGAAATTTTGTGATCTATCTTGAACAAATGAGATATCACTTTGAAGAAGCTCCACAAACTCCAACCCGCCATGCTGATCATGACGAAGAAATTATTGAGATTTTCCAAAGTATTCTTTTACAAATGAAGAAATATATTGATCAAGTGAACGCTAAGAGAAGTGGAAAAGACTTTGATAAGGATGAAATGAAAAAGATGGAAGACTTGCTGAGTGAGCATTATTACAGATTGGACGAGTACCTCCAATTTTACAATGAAGAGCTTCACGATGCATTATGGCGATGCTCTTTAAATTTAATGAAATAGAAGAGAATTTATTCTTGTTGCTTTTTCTTCTTCTTTCTATAATGTTTAACAAATGATTTCTTATCCAGCACCTTAATTTCATTCCCCTCATGTTTAAACAGGTCATTATCGAGCATATATGATGGTTTTTCTTGCTTAAATTGAGCAAGATATGTAGAAAGGTAATTGGCACGTGACTCATAAACAGGATAATCATCAGATTCCACCAAGTGTCTTCTCTTTGAGATGACAGTAACTCTTGCTCCATCATAATCCGTACTAAATGATTTCAAAGAATAAAATTGACAAATGGCATGTGTAAGAAAACGTCTATGACCATCAGTTAATACCAAAACCATAAAATTACCCTTCAATCTATCTACTAATTCCGATTGTTGCTCAGCTGTATTTTCTTCCTTATTTTCATTTTCTTCATCTATAACTTTTCTTTGATTAATGAATGGAATGAGAATATCTTCCATTAAGGTCACAAAATCTACATCATACTGTCTATTGAGGGCTTCCTTTGCTTGTTGTTCAACCAATTTATGATATCTTTGATGAGCAGTGAGCGACTTGAGGGAAGGTGCCTTCTTTTCTTTCATTTGATAACCTTGTTCTTCAAATTCTCTCAAAGCTGGTTCAATTACATTTCTAAATTCACTAGTTGTCCAAATTTCTTCGTGAGGAATAACAAATAAACTCTTGTAATCCTCCTCAGTGGCATCACCATGAAATATATTTGCATCTTTCAAATCTTTTAAATGTTTTTTAACAACTTGATCTTGTTGTACTTGAAGATTCTTTTTTCTCAACTTTTTCTTCTTATCAACTGTACTGGAAAATGTCATCAAATTTGAAGAAGGTGGGAATGAATGGGCTTGTTCAATATTTTCAATTTCAATATGATGAGATGCAACCTCTGATGAAGTAACAACATTTGATGGTTGTTGTGCTGATGAATTACCTCTATTCATCCTTCTTCCACCTCTCAATACAGTTGAGTTACGATCAATAGTAGCATCACCACTCAAATAACTTTCGGAATCAAAGAAAATATCATCCTCCGATGTACCACTCAAGCCTGAACTAGAATAGTCAACATTTTGGCTTGGAAGTGTAGTACCCAAGCTATTGTGTTGAATAATAATACGTTTTGGTCTTTGACTCATTTTTTTTACTTCTTTTTTTAGCTTCAAATTGTAAAAGAAAATTAATCTTGAAATTGAAGTGGTGGAATACAAGACAATGTCAATGAGAAACAAGTCAAAATGAGGGTTTACACTTGTGGTGCAACACTTCATGTGACAGGTTCTGGTTCATTTTACAAAAAAATGTCTACAAGTCATTCAGTAGATCACTTTTCAATGTTGCCCTATGAAATTTTACAAATGATTTTGGCATTTGCTGTTGATCGGAAATTGTCGGATTGCAGTGCCATACAGTCACATGTGGAGTTTGTGGCAAATTTTCAATCCTTGAGTAAGAAGATTAATGATTTGAAGGAGATGGCGGAATGTTTCAATGAATTTTGGTGGAATTTATTTAAGAGTTTTAGTTTTGCAACTGAAAATTATTCAAACGGGAAGGAATTGGAGCAATTGAAAAGTAAATTGATAAAAAATCGAGAGCTCAGAAGGAAGATTTTACTTTTCCGATATGTTAAATACAAAACTCTATCGAATAATAATTCTCAACAACAAATGTTAATATTACTGGTAAGGGATTTTATATAGTTCAACATTTTCTTAAATGATAAAGTTCTTGGAAGTGAAAGAGTAGGAAAATCATCCATTACAATATTCTTTGTAACAAATTTTGTAATTGATGATCATGAGTCATCGTTTGAGGATACCTATGTTAAACAATTGAAAATAGACAGACTATCGGTCAAACTTGCAATTTTAGACACAAGTAAGTTGTTGAATATGTGAAATTTACACAATGAAATAGTTGAATCGGATTATCATTATTTGAGAGAAACACATATTCTATATGCAGATGGTTTTGTCTTGATTTGCTCTGTGGATAACATAAAATCACTTGTGGGAATTCGAGAACAAGTTGCAAAAATTGTAAGAGTGAAAGATCTCGAAGTCAATAGCACTCCAATTGTGTTTGTAATTAACAAGATTGATTTATTACAAAATGACAATAGGAAACAAACAATCGATGAATTCAAAAAGGAAATTAATAATATAATCAAAGAGTATGACTTGGTGAATACAAGTACAATGCTGAGCAGTGTTAAAAGTGAACCAGAGAAAATTACTTTAATATTTGAGGAATTGGTAAAAAGACAAATTCTGCAAGGTGACAATATAGAAATTCTTAAAAATGTTGTAGAGAAAGATTGGTCATACATTCAGGAATGCAACAATACATTGAATAAGAAGAAGTGCTCATTAATGTAATTGACTTGTGAATTTGTCATTTGGAAATTTAAGGATGATGTGAACAGGAAAATTATTTAAAGTTAATTTAATCATCATTGCCAGCATACTTATTGTACACAGAACCCAGGAAGCTCTTTGGAATTTCCATTTTGTCCAGCCTTACAGGTTGTGGTTTGTTGTGAGGTCTGGAAAATGAAGAGCAACAAGCCCAAATAATATAACTAACTTGCACACTAAGCCATCTAGCATGTCCTCTGGAATCAACACATTCTGCCATTAATTCTTTTCTATTTCTATCAGAGCTGAACATTTTCATGAGAGAAGCTGAATCATTATTATTGGTGGATTTTAGATTTGAAGGAGGAAGATCAATACCTGGAATCTTTAAAGAATAGACATTGACTTCTGGGAGGTTAGGTAAGTGCTTATTAATTTGAGTTACAGCAAATCTGATAATGAAGAGAAGACCCAGTCTCGGGTATGTTGGGAATTCCACGTCTGGAATACCTTCCAACTTTTCTAATTCTTGTAAAATCTTTGGGATGTTAAATACTACATTATGTTGACTGCTAATTGTAACATTTTCAACATCTTTCTTTTTGAAAGAAATAATGCATTGTTTCAAAGAATGAATAAGCTCCTTGAAGGTTAATGGTGGGATAAATCCAACATCCATTGACATTCTCTCGTTTCTATTTGGCAGCTCAATAAGAGTCTTTTCAATAAGCATTAACAATGAAGGAATTGATATATCTAACGGAATGACCATGTCTAGTTCATCAACATGACTTGAAATATACTCAAAGATCTTTAAAATAATGTTAGTCAGTGTCATACTACTAAAGTTAGGACACTCAATGTTTGGTTCATCCAATGTTTCAAACATCTCTGCAATAATTTCAAAAGCAGATGCAAAATTAGTTTCACCAAATCCTAAATCAATCTTCTTTTCGGTGAAATTCTTCATAAAGAAGCATCTTGATGCAATTCTACACACTGAGGATGGTTTCTCAAATGCTTTCACACCAGGAAGCCACACTTTTGGATCTTGAACTCTATCAATCTTCTTGATTAAATGTTCAAATACCATAAACTTGGAAAGTTTGAATAAATTCTTCTTTAAAATCTTTGAGATTGCAATCTCAGTTTCCTTTTCCTTTTTTTGTGTCTTGATATTTGATTTTAAGAAGATACCATGTCGACCTTCTTCTGTATTGAATTGACCATAATAAATGGTTGAAAACATTGTATAGGGGAATCTTCTTGCTCTCTTGTATGAACTCTCTTTCTTTTTTGAATTGTATGCGAAAGTGTAGATTGCTTGATCTGTTAAACATAATAATCTTTCTTGGAATTGACCTCTGTGATTAATCTTATTTACTGTCCATCCATACTTGAATTCCTCAGCCTTCTTTGCTTGTATTCCTTCACTTTTTTCGTAATCTGCCCAATACTGATTGATACTCTCAATGCAGTTTTGTTTTTCTTCTTCTTTTAATTGGTAAAAGCTCTCAGAGTTTGAAATGATTTCTAATAAAGGATCCACGGTTTTAAAATTCAATGCAGCATAGTTTGTGAGATCCTTCATCAATTCAATAAGATCGTCTTGTTCCTGATTTGTTATCTGTTCTAATTTTACAAATTTCTTTCTCATCATTTCAAATTTACAAGCAATTCCAATAGCTTTTGAAATTTCTTTTGGAGAAACATGACCAATGTGATATCTATAAACACCATAAATATACAAGGTCTTTTTACAAATATAACAAAAACCAGAATCTGGAGGTTTTGGTTTTCTATCATCTTCACTGTTTCTAAACACTATTGTATCAACGGCATCTGCAATTTCATTTGCTTCCAAGCCATGTTCATGAGTTACAAGTCTGAAAGCACTGATTAGTGAAAGAATGGAATAACTACATTCCAGACTGCAAAAGTTACTTAGACAAAGGTCAACATTTCCTGCCTTTTCAAATGATTCCCAATCCACTTCAATCTTGAGGTCATAACTTGGAAGCAACATTTCACCCTTAATAGAATTTTGAGAAATTGAAATTGATCTTGTGATAAACTCTTGATAGTATTCTCTATTAACTCCTAGAAGAGAACCCAACTTTAACATGAAAGAATTACTGCCAACATCTCCCATAAGGGAAGGTCCTTCATCAAATACAACAGCAATTTGTAAATTTCCATCAATAAGAGTTAATGTTGTAGAGTTAATATCAGATATTACCGAGTACTCTTCATCACATCGTTGATAATCTAATCCATCAGCAACAAATAATGTCTCGTTCACCAGCTCTTCTTTCAAGAATGGTTTTGCTGCTACCGTTATCTTTTTAACCTTTTGAGCAAAGGATGTTCTTATATTCTCGTAATCTTCTCTCTGTAATAAAAACTCTATAACATCTAACAAGTGTCCGAGAATGAAAAAGCCATCCCAAACTTGAAGATGTTCCAGAGAATTTTCAAAGTTATTACTAAATTGTTTAATACTTGAAAAATTAACCTCTACATCTATCAGTTCTCCAATAAGGGACATAAGCTTGTCTTTAACAGCTGGTATAATCTCTCCCTTAATTTTATCCTCCATAATTTGAGCCTGAAGGTTAACTTTTACACTCATCTCCAATTCTTTTTAATTTTTTTGATGATGAAGAGAATGGCCAATGATCACTCAAACTTGTTTTACTGTTCTTAAAAAGTCGACATGGTATTTGCTGCTCTCTCAAGAAATAGTAATCAACATGCCAAAACTCTAAAACTCTGCTATCATTTTTTCAATTCAAAGACCATTATTATTAAATAATAGTGCTTTATCAATAAGCTTTAGAATGGTTTTAAAGCATGTTAGTGAATTTGTCTTGCCTTAAAAAATAATATAAAATAATTCAAACCAGAATAAATTCTTCTGCTCTTAAAAAATATCATCGGAAGAGTGGTACCATTAATGATATATAACAACTGATGAAGCAAATTGTGCCGCCTCAGGCGGAAAGTTAATATGTCGATAAACACTCTCATGACCTTTATTCTGATCTGTTTCTTTGATAATAAGATTATCAAATAGAGTTTCAATATTGATTTGAATTTTGATTTTTACATCCATCAAAAAATGAGAAGAAGCTTGTTATTGAGGAGAAAGAATGTTTGCTCTTCCGAATTTAATTTAATGAAGAGTGCTATTACTTGCACTGCTACTTCTTCTAAAATGTCTTTCGGAACAAGCCAATACAATTTTGCAACAAGGAGAGTTATTGCTAATGGTGATAATACAGAGGATGAGTTGTCGAGAGAATTATCACCTCTCTATCCAAAAATTAAAACAACAAGATTATTTACACTTTTATATAGTGGACAAATGTTTTCGGATTTGGCACTATCAGATGCAACCTTGCAACGAGTTAAAACAATTTTGAATGATTCTCTCTTCCTAGGAGTGGATAAACCAAGTCATAGATTTATTGATGAGGAAATTAAAACCAGAAGACAAAAAGTTCCAATAGTAACAATTATGGACTTGTTATCGTATGATGAAAAGGAAATTGCAGCTTTGGATAATCAAATGCAAATATATCAACAAACAACTAAAGAGCTTGCACCTCAGGACAAATGGAATTATTGTGACGTTCTCATTAAGAAAATTAATCACTCACTGGAAAGCAATGAAATAAGACGTGTGGATCCACTTATGAAATTATTGACAAACATTTTGAAATCATTAGGAGTTGAATCACCAGAAGAACACCCAACAATTTGCTATTTAATGAACAAAAGACTGCTTCACGATGCAGATAGAGAATTTTATAAGGCAAACGAAGAACTGTTGCAAACAATGAGGAGTATGCCAAAAGATGTTTTTGATAATGACAAAGATGTAAATAGAAAGAAGGTAGTCGACTCTGCAAAGGCAGAACAATTAGCAAAATTATTAATTGGAGATTTCAAATTTAAGAGGGCAATTTACATGATGCAATTATCTGCAGAGGTTTACGATATTATATTGGAGAAGCACAGAGAGCACTTTACTCAAAAAGAAATTGAAATTATCAAATCAGATCGCGAAAGAAGATACTACTGTCTCATTCAGCTACATGCTTTTGTATCTTCTTTGGCAAGTGAATATGCTCATGTCTGTAGAAAAGACTCTAGGGAATATTATGTAGATAATGGAAATGCTTTATATTTGCTAATGACTAGAGATTATTCAATTGATGCCAGGAAAGAAGGAAAGCTCAAGTCAGCTTTCAGAAAAGAAGCCAGTATTAATGCATTTGCTGTAACCAAGTATATTCGTCATTTGAAAAAGAAGTCACCAGAAATTGAGAAACGTTATCCAATGGTTAAAATTGTTGGACTCAATGCTACCAGATCTCTATTACCACACAGATTTAGAAATCTTGCACTCGTACTTGTAGCATTGGGATTGATCTATTTATGCTATCTGATAGTTCTCTACATTTTGGATATTAGAAAAGCAGATAGAGAAATTGCAGAAGCAAAAGCTCAACGAAGACGAGAAATGATTGAAATTCTGAAACCTCAGACTGAAACTGAAAAACAACTTTCAAATGATGACGATGAGTTTTAAATAAATTTCAATTTCAAATTGTTTTTTATCACTAAACATGTTGCAACATCAATTTCCAACATGAAATAAATATTTGAAGTTGATTAATATAATAAATTCAGAAAACATAAAAAAATGGTCAACATTAGCTCGGAGAAACTTCATCAAACACAACAAGATACTGAACATGTGAGAAATATTTGTATTATTGCTCACGTTGATCACGGAAAAACAACATTATCAGATTTTTTAATATCCAGTAATGGAATCATCAGTAGTAACTTGGCAGGAAAGATGAGATACATGGATAGTACAGCCTACGAACAAGAAAAGAGAATTACAATGAAAAGTAGTGCTATTAGTTTATTATATAAAGATAAAAACGATGAAAATTCGGATGAATATATAATTAATTTAATCGATTCACCAGGGCACGTGGATTTTAGTAGTGAAGTGAGTACAGCAGCAAGACTTTCCGATGGATGTTTAGTGTTAGTGGATGTTGTTGAAGGTGTTTGTACACAAACAAAGACAGTTCTTGAACAAGCCTTCAGAGAAAATATTAAACCATGTCTAGTTTTAAATAAGATTGATCGTTTGATACTTGAAAAACAAATGACACCAATGGAAGCTTACAAACAAATGTTACACATTTTACAACAAGTCAACGTATTATTGACAACTTTTGTTACAGTTCAATTATTCAAGAAAATTAATGAACAAGATGAAAAGAAGGAAGATACAAAGGAAGAGGAAACAAAGGATCAATCAAAGCAACAATATGACAATGTTTTTGATGATAATGAAGTTGACAGTAATGACTTTTTCTCACCATCAAAGGGTAACGTTTTGTTTGCTAGTGCCTATGATGGTTGGGGATTTAGAATTAATGATTTTAGTGAAATTTTCTCAAAGAAGATGGGTATGAATAAGAATACACTTCAACAAACACTTTGGGGTGATTTTTATTTGAATCCAAAGAAGAAAGCAATCTCAAAAAAGCCAATCAAAGATGATCAACCAAATATGTTTGTTCAATTCATTTTGCAAAACATTTATAGTGCATACGATTGTTTACTGATTAATCGTGATGAAGAAAAGATTAAGAAAATGATCCAAGCTTTAGATTTGAATTTATCTAAAGCATTCTTGTCAAAGAATGATCACAAGAGTCAGCTTAAAACATTGATGAATCAATGGTTACCAATGTCTGATTCCATCTTATCTATGGTTGTTAGCAGGTTACCAAATCCAAAAGAAGCTCAAAAGGAAAGAGTCTTAGACCTTATTCCAGAATTAAAGACAATCAAGGATAAAACCAATGAAACTAAGAAATCAAACCAAGTCAATGCTGAAATTAGAACTCAAAGAAGAAAGCTGAAGAAGAATTTAATGCAATGCGACAAGAGTGATAATGCTGAAGTGTTGATTTTCGTTTCAAAGATGTTCGAAGCTGATGAAATACCAACCCAAGGTGGTTCAGCAACTAAGATAGATCAAATCCAACTTCAAAGAGAAAGATTGAGAAAACTCAGAGAAGAAAGATTAAAGCAAAAGGAGCTCGGAGAAACTTCCACAACAGAAACTGACTCTGCTCAACCTACTGAAGGTTCTGAATCAACAGAAACAAATGAAGAAAATAACCAAGAGAATGATACTGAAGCAAGCAAGCTTGTTGCTTTTTGTAGAATTTTCAGTGGTACAATCAGAGTTGGACAAACTTTGCATATTCTTGGCCCAAGATACAATGCTTCCAATCCTAATGAAGATCGTATCGAATTCAAGGTTGATAAGCTCTTCCTTTTGATGGGTAGAGGTCTGGAATGTGTTGATAGTGTGCCAGCTGGTAATATTTTCGGTTTGGGTGGTGTTGGTAAGCATATTTTGAAAACTGCCACTATTTCATCAAGCACTCATTCACCAATCTTCTCGGCAATGTATGTCCAATCTATTCCTATTGTTAGATTTGCTATAGAACCACAAAATTTGATGGATATGCCAAAATTGGTTAAGGGTCTCAAACTCTTGAACCAAGCCGATCCATCTGTTGAAGTACTTGTACAAGAAACAGGTGAACATGTTATTGTCACTGCTGGAGAAGTCCATGCCGAAAGATGTATAAGAGATTTGAATGAAAGATTCGCCAAGGTTCCAATAACTGTTTCTCCACCACTTGTCAGTTTCAGAGAAACTATTATTGAACAACAAAAGGAACCAGTAATAGCCTCTAAGAAAACTGGTAACAAGAGATGGACCATCAAGATTAAGGCTATTCCACTCCCTGAAAATATTGCCCACTACATCGATAAACATAAGGAAGATTTCAGAGCTTATTTCTCTAACGACTCTAGAAGAACATCCAAGTCTGTCTTTGTTACCTCTGAGGTTATTGATGGATTGAAACAACAATTTATTGATGCAGGAAAGCAATGGGAAACTGAGTGGGATAATGTGTGGTGTTTAGGTCCAAGAAGAATTGGTCCAAATGTACTCTTGAATCACATTCCAGATTACAAAACACCAAACTTTGAACCTTTGCACAAACAAGTTGCTGACATGTTGGCAGAAAATGAAGACGAAGAAACAACAGCAACAGAGGAACCAGTTGAAACATCTGAAAGAATAGAATCCCTTAAACAATTTGATCACAGTTTTATTTCAGGCTTCCAACTTGCTACAAACTCTGGTCCATTGTGTGACGAACCAATGTATGGCGTTTGTTTCTGTATTGAAGATGTAGTTTTCGAAACTGAGGGAATTCATGACGAAGACTTTGGTGGTCCATTTACTGGACAAATCATGAGTTCAATGAAGACTGCTTGTAGAAAATCCTTTGATAACAGTCAAAGAAGATTGGTAGAAGCCATGTACGATTGTGAAATTCAAGCTACCAATGAAAGTGTTGGTAGTGTTTGTGATGTTTTGAGAAGAAGAAGAGCCAAGATTTATTCAGATGATATGGAGGAAGGAAGTGGTCTCTTCATTATCAAATGTCACTTGCCAGTTGCTGAAAGTTTTGGATTTTCAGAAGAATTAAGAACAAGAACAAGTGGTGCTGCTCAACCTCAAATTGCATTCTCACATTGGCAAATTCTCGATGTGGATCCATTCTTTGTTCCAACCACTGAAGATGAGCTTGAAGAATGGGGAGAAAAGGGTCTTATCAATATTCCAAATATTGCCAAGCAATATATTGATGCTGTAAGAAAGAGAAAGGGTTTGATGCTTGACAAGAAGACTGTTGAATCTGCTGAAAAGCAAAGAAACTTATCAAAGAAGAAGTAAAATATCTTGCTGATCACCCTTATTTAAACTTTGAGTCAACAGTCACAAATCACTTGATTAATCCCAAGTTTTACGACGTTCAATTCAAGTTTCCCATTTATTGAACTTGTGAATTACTAAATGAGAGAAACCAAATTAGTATATTGTTTACAATCTTTATTAATTAGTATATTCAAGTAAAGTATTAAAAACCCATCTAATAATTGTGTTTTTAATTATTACACTTTCGACTCCCAATGGTTGCGAGAGAGCATGTTTAATCTTTGCTTCTTTATCACCATTAAAACTAATTAGTGCGTCAATAATATTTTCAAAATCACTTCCATAAATTTCAACAATCACAAGCCTGTTTTCGGATATTCCAATACACTCTTTCAATAAAACATGTATTTCGTCTTCTTTCCAACATTTTGGAGTTAATTTATCGAGAACAACATTACCAATTATTATCCTTCCTGAAGCTCTCTGTAATGCTGGAATATTTAAAACACTAGTAGAATATTGTGAAACAGTGTGCATTTGAGAGGATCCAATATTTGCAATATTTGATGATATATCTGAAAAAGGAGTATGTGAATATTCTAAAGTTTGTGGGGATGAATTATTTTGAAAGAATCCAGACTGAAAACAAATCATTTCTCTATACAAATCTTTCTTTTTCGTACAGTAATTATGAAATAGAGAATACAATTCATTGCTTAATAAATTCTGCAAGCCCTTCTTAGACAGTAATAATACTTGAAAACCTCCTTTCTTCAATTGTAACCAAGACTCTGTTCCAACCCTTGACTTTGTGTAGCTTAATTTTCCATCGTCCTGTAAATAGCATGTTTCTGTTATTAGAAGTGATCCAGAATTATCAGCATTATTTTCAATGACTCTCTGCAATTCGTCTGAAAATCCCAGAACTACCATTATTAATAAAAAGTGTAAATTATCTCCCTGTAATGATGGTTTTTCATCACAGCTATAGGTATTGGGTAGGAAATTTACCGCTTGATCGATTTCCTTTTGTAAAAGATCCTTAGTAAAATTCTTTTCAAACAATTCCACATCAAACAATAATAATTTTCTTAATAATTGAGATGAAGTTTTGTTCAAAGTTATTAATATATCAAATCCAGTATTTGTTTCTCCACCAGGAATAGCAGCACAAAATTGATTTCCACTCATAGCGTCATCTAACACTGAAATAAATGATGTATAACTAGTTTTTAGGTACTTTCCAAATCCCATCGTTTGGTAGTCGAACTTCTCAGTCGTACTTGTTGGTGAAAATCCAGGAATTAACTTATTATGTGTTTCAAAATTGGAAGGTAATTCTAAATTACTAAAAAAGGTATCTTTGAATATGCCACCACATAAATCCCCAAATAGAATAACTTCTCTTGTTTTTGTAAATGAGATAACTAACATTTCAGCCAATAGATCAATGACCGATAATTCCAATGCCTTGGGAGCTTTGAGAACATTGTTATTGTTTTGCAATAATTGGTAACGAATTCCACTGATAGGTGCTTTAAATTGTGCCAAGTTCTTTAAAATACTATCTTTCATTAGCTTGGGAATGATAATCTTGATGACATTATCTTCCAAAACTTGAAAATGGAGTTTCAAATAAGGAATTATTTCAATCAAGTTTCTCCAACTCCTGTTAAAGTATATTTTCTAAAACTATTATTAAATCCATAACTAATATACTCACTGTTTGTAAGGGTATTGCAACATCAAAGGAATGGATAAAATATAATTGAGCCACTAAATTGGCTTCTTCTCTAGTCTTGATATTGATGGTTATATCACTTTGTTTTTGATCAGAATTTACAACAGCTTTACAAATTTTCTCTCTTGATGATAAATCATTCAAGTTGTACAATATGCTTTTGAATGCATTTTCCATTATTCTAGGAACAGTACCTGTATAATCCACAAGAATATCTATAAATTCCTCAATATCATTTAATCCTAACAACTTGAAAGCATCTAATAGTGAAATTTTGCATTCCCCTTTTTGCACAACACTTTGTTCAAGCAATATTTGAATAACTTCTTTTGTCATTGAGGACAAAAAGACAAGACAGTAATCAGAAGGTAAACTTCCTTTGAATATTTGATTATTTTCTTGCAAAGCCAAATGTACTGGAATATGTCCACTAAATATAACAGTACTCCTAATGGGAGTAATAAGGTGAGTAACATCTGACCATAATTCTTGAAACCGACTCAAATACAGATCATCACAACCTATCTTACATGTGTTCCATTTAGAATCTTTCAATTGTCCTTCAAAATCATTCAACAAAATTGCATCTACTTCATCAATAAATACTAAATATCCTTCAGGTAAGGATTCATCACTATTTAAAGCTTGAAATATTTGGCTTGCTGAATAATGCTCTTGATTTGTAATATTCTTCAATTTTTGGTGAAATCTTCGTCGTTGTTTTAAAAGTTCTGGTGGTGTGTTTTCTATTGCTTTTTGAATTAATTGGCATTCATAGGACCAAACCACAAAATCAGCAATTTTTTGGCTCATACTTTCAATAGTTTGCCCTGAATAAAGAACTATGGGAAAATATCTAAAATCCAATTCAAATAACTGTAAGTCTCTAATCCATTTGTACTCCTCTTTCCATACGCCATATTTGAATTCATATACCTCTCTGAACCTTCTTACCAAACTCGTTTTACCAATTCCAAAAGTTTGAAATAGGGACACTAATTTACTATTGCTCAGAGACGAATGCTTATTGGAAGCTAAGGTATTAACGATTCGTTCAGCTTCTTTTTCACGATTTACAAATTTTAAACGTAACGTTGCGGTTGTGAGGTCTTTTGTTGCTATGCTCGTACCAATTTTGTTTGCACTATTCGTTGGCGAAGTAGGTTTGGAATTGGAAGAATTGTTGGATGTGGTGGCTTCTTGCTTGTTCTTTTTGTTGAGCATTTCGTGCTCTGCAAGTTTATCCAGTTTTCGTTTATGCATTTTTTTTCGCTTAGTTTGCGTGTAATCCTCACAGTAATGGAATGGTAGCTTTCAATATTACTATTAGAATTAAGGTATTGCCTTAAAGTTTAGAAATTCTAGAAGTGTAAATTCATTCTTATCAGGTAGTCCTTCAAATCTGTGAAATAGTACTTTGAGCCACATAAGTCTCTTTAAGAAAATTCTGGATTTTCTTCGATTTTTGTTTCAATCTTGTGAACACCTCTGTCAGAGTCAACAGTGTCTCACAAATCACCTGATCAAACAAGTTTTTTGGTGGACAATGATCAATACTACTCTTTTCACTGGCATACAATTTTGCCAAAATATCATTTCTCTTTGTAGGAAGTGAAGGAACATTCAACTCATTGAGAGCACCCTCACTGAGATAGTTTCCAACAATTTTCTTTGCTGAATTGGTAATCCTTTCTCTGTGTCTGGTCACAATATTAGTTTTGAGCAATTCATTCTCCTCTTTGTAATTGTAATAGCTCTGAACTTGTCTTTTGAAAGATTGAACATCCTTGTAGAATAGAACACCTTCTGGACAATAGGATCTCCTTGAAAATTCCAATAAGAGTTTACACATCTCATCATTATTCAGGACAAGTTCAATTTCACTCTCGAAAAGATTTTCTCCCTCAACAGAATCGTCTAAAATTGCCCTAATTACAGGAATTAGAACTGAAACAATTATTTCCACAAATCCTCCAATCATGACTGAATAACTATAAGGAATGATATGAGTCAAGACTTGAGTTTCAAATACCTGAGAGCAAACAAAATAAACTATTGTGAGTAAACTCCTCAAAATTGCCAACAGAATAGTTTCAACCTTAATAGAAAAAGTATCTCGATCAGATCTTAACGAAATCAACACAATCAGCACATCAATAGCAGAATAGAAAAACATTAAACTCGTCAATATGATACTCGGTAAATTAGTGATATAACATCCACTCACACTGAAAATACTTCCAGTTTTCATAAAGAAACGATTCGAAGCATAAAAATTGTCCTCCACAATTCCAACCAGAAACCAAACTACAATGTGAATCAATAAAACAAGTCCATAAATTCCAATAGAAAACCATAAACTTTCCATTTTCTGATTCCACCAAATTAATCGTTGCAGAATTCGTTCATTCCAACCACTACACAGCACTGATTCATCACTTTCAGTTTTTCTCGAATCGATTGACATTCTGCTAACATCACTTCGAATTACAAACTTTTTTCGAAAATTAATTAGATAGTTCATGTAATGTTTCCATCCTCTCACAATTGAGGGCAAATTAATACAAGGACCCAACATGAAAAACAACAAGGAATATAAGAAACAAGGAAATAAACTCCTTCCCACAACAAATCTCAAAGCACTCACGACATTGAAATAGAAATTTGTGCCCAACAATAATAAACACAATGTAAATGACCTAGCTCTGATATGAGAGGATTTTCTCTTCCATATTAATCCAATGAGAGTAATGCAGAATATGGAAATATAACAGAATAGATAAACTCCAGAAAATATTGGCATGACAATGGTATCAGGGCATTCCATGTTTAAAGTATTATTCGAATCTGATTGATACCTCAAATTAATGGGAAACCATGAAGGACACTCTGAGTACGATAAGGATGTCCCATTGAGGTTGCTTTCCGTAATATTTTCATTTATGTTGTCAATAATTGAAAGCACAAGAAACTCTTCAATTGTTTGTTGCATTCTTTTTGTTTTGAAGAGATAATAATCAAAGAAAATGATTGAGCATGATTGTTGTTTATTGATCCGAAAGTGACCAAAGAATAAAGTGGATTGGTTCTGATGGATTACGGCAATAATATTCTTATTCGAGAAAATTACGAACCGCTCAAACAGTTCTCAAAAATCTGTGTTAGATTGCAGTAATGGAAGAATAAGAAAGACCTTTGGTTTGGTGCATGTTCTCTAGGCAGTGACTCTCTCAATTTATTGAGAGCATTTGAATCAGAACACTTATTAAATTTCTTGTGTTCATCTTCGATATGAACGAAGAACTGGCTTCCTTCTTTTCTTTTGTCATCTCATCTCGTAACAGACACAGACCACCTTAGAGTGTTTGGAATAGGGAAGTGTTTCAGATTAGTTTGTTAGAAATTTCAAATGCAACATGGTAAGATAACCTACCCCCTAATTACTACGCTAAAGATGACAGAGGAACTCATTACAAAGTGTTGTTAACCAACACCTATTTATTATCTAGTTTCAAATATTTGGTAGTTGGAACACGTAAACAATTTACATCATTATTTGTTAAACCAGAGAGAACAAGCCTTTGCACACGGAAAATGAAAAATAAAATTAGATTTTGATCAAGTTCAACCTACAAGCAAAAATCATTGATGGCCTATAAATACACTACGCAGAGACACATCATCTTAAAAAAAATAAATCAAATAACACCATCACAACTACTTGTATAAAATGTCTGACGAACAAGAACCAACAACTCCATCAACTAAGAGAGCCTTGGAAAGAAAGAAGCAACACGAAGAATTGTTAGCTAAGGTCAAGTCTCAAAAGGAAAAGAATAGATTGATCGTTGATGAAGCCACCCAAGATGATAACAGTATTGTAGGTGTTCACCCTGACACAATGGAAGCTCTCGAATTATTTAGAGGTGATACTGTTAGAATTGTTGGTAAGAAACACAAGGATACTATTGCTATTGTTTTATCTGATGAAGAATGTGAAAGAGGTAAAATCAAGATGAACAAGGTCATGAGAAAGAACTTGCGTATTAGACTTGGTGATGTTATCATCCTCAAGCAATGTGCAGATGTAAAATATGGTAAAAGAGTTCACGTCCTTCCAATTGATGATACTGTTGAAGGTTTAACTGGTGATCTCTTTGATATCTTCTTGAAGCCATACTTCCTTGAAGCATATAGACCACTTAGAAAGGGTGATTTATTCAATGTTAGAGGTGGTATGAGATCAGTTGAATTCAAAGTTGTTGAAACCGATCCAGATGAATATTGTATAGTTGCTCCAGATACTGTTATTCACTGTGAAGGTGATCCAGTTAAGAGAGAAGATGAAGAAGCAAGATTGAATGAAGTTGGTTATGATGATATTGGTGGTGTTAGAAAGCAATTAGCCCAAATCAGAGAAATGGTTGAATTACCACTTAGACATCCACAACTCTTCAAATCTATTGGTATTAAACCACCAAGAGGTATTTTGATGTACGGTCCACCTGGTTCTGGTAAAACTTTGATTGCTAGAGCTGTTGCTAATGAAACTGGTGCCTTCTTCTTCTTGATTAACGGTCCAGAAATTATGTCAAAACTTGCTGGTGAATCTGAAGCTAACTTGAGAAAGGCTTTCGAAGAAGCTGAAAAGAATGCTCCTGCCATTATTTTCATTGATGAAATTGATTCAATTGCACCAAAGAGAGAAAAGGCTAATGGTGAAGTTGAAAGAAGAATTGTTTCTCAATTGCTCACTCTTATGGATGGTTTGAATTCTAGATCTAATGTTATTGTTATGGCTGCTACTAATAGACCAAACTCTATTGATGAAGCTCTTCGTAGATTCGGTCGTTTCGATAGAGAAATTGATATTGGTGTTCCAGATGAAATTGGTAGATTGGAAGTTTTGAGAATTCACACAAAGAATATGAAGTTGGATGATGATGTTGATTTGGAAGCTGTTGCTAAAGAAACTCACGGTTATGTTGGTGCCGATCTTGCTCAATTGAGTACTGAAGCTGCTATGAATTGTATTAGAGAAAAGATGGATTTGATTGATTTAGAAGAAGATACTATTGATGCTGCTGTTTTAGATTCTATGGGTGTTACTATGGATCACTTCAGAGCTGCTCTTACAACTCAATCTCCTTCTTCACTCAGAGAAACTGTTGTTGAAGTTCCAAATGTATCTTGGGCTGATATTGGTGGTTTGGAAAAGGTTAAACAAGAATTACAAGAATTAGTTCAATACCCAATTGAATATCCAGATATGTTTGCCAAGTTTGGTCAAGAAGCCTCAAAGGGTGTATTGTTCTATGGTCCACCAGGTTGTGGTAAGACTTTGTTAGCTAAGGCTATTGCTAATGAATGTCAAGCTAACTTTATTTCAGTTAAGGGTCCAGAATTGTTGACTATGTGGTTCGGTGAATCTGAAGCTAACGTTAGAAATATTTTCAATAAGGCTAGAGCTGCTGCTCCTTGTGTCTTGTTCTTTGACGAATTGGATTCTATTGCTAAGGCCAGAGGTGGTAGTAGTGGTGATGCTGGTGGTGCTTCTGATCGTGTTATTAACCAAATCCTTACTGAAATGGATGGTATGGGTAAGAAGAAGAATGTTTTCATTATTGGTGCTACCAATAGACCTGATACTATCGATCCTGCTGTTATGAGACCAGGTCGTTTGGATCAATTGATTTACATTCCATTGCCAGATGAACCATCAAGAATGTCAATTTTGAAGGCTTCTACCAGAAAGTCACCACTTGCTCAAGATGTTAGTTTGACTGCTATTGCTAAGGCTACTAAGGGTTTCTCTGGTGCTGATTTGACTGAAATTTGTCAACGTGCTGCCAAGTTAGCTATCCGTGAATCTATTCAAAAGGAAGTTGACTTCAAAAGACAAAAGGAAGAAGAAAGAAAGGCCAAACAAATGGAAGATGAAGACGAAGACGAAGAATTCGGTGAAGAAATTGACTTTGTACCATATATTACCAGAGCTCACTTTGAAGAAGCTATGAGATTTGCTCGTAAATCTGTTCCAGAACATGAAATTAGAAAGTACGAAATGTTCTCAACATCTTTGCAACAAGCTGCCGGTGATGTCAGAAGCTTCAAGTTCTCTGATTATGATACTGCTGATACCACAACTGCTTCATCAACAACTGCTGATCAAGTCCTCGACTCTGATTTGTACGAATAATTCTGTTAAATAAAAAAAGTAAATATAATTCTTAAATAGGTCATAATTGTAATTTTCACTTCTCATTGTAAAAATTCTGTCTTGGATCATACTAGAAATCACCATTTCAAACAAGAATTTTTAACAATAACAAGCTCAATTTTTATCTTAATAGAGCGAAGATCTGCACTTCCATACAATTTGTTTAAATTAATGATTGATGTGGAATGCTCAGAGAATTTTTGTTTCGAAATTTTCCAACATTATAAAAATATTTCAAATTATTGTGTAGTGATACAGCAGATTTTCATTTATTTACAAAATCAACTCTTCTAGAAAATCCTTAAATCTGTTCTTGCTAAGAAGATTTACTTCTTATAGGTATCAACTTTCTTTGGTGGTTGATAAACATCAACTTTGGAACAAACTCTTTCCTTCTTTGCGCAAATACTCTTATCAGCATGCTTTCTACAGACCTTCTTTCCACCAACAAAGTTATACTTGGCACAGACCTTATAACCTTTAGATTTCTTAACACAAATCTTCTTATGAGATCTCTTGATACATCTTGCCTTCAAAGTCTTGTATTGAGTACAATATGGCTTGGCAGCATAATCACAACAGAACTTATCTTCTCTGAATGCCTTACAAACTCTAACCTTTTCTTTGAGATCACAGAATTTGCTTGGAGTCCACTTGGTACAGAACTTGGCCTTTTCCTTCTTGATACAGAATTTGTTTCTAACAAATTTAACACACTTCTTTTCGTAACCAATCTTTTTGGCGAATTTGACATTTTCATATCTGGTACAGGTCTTTCTCTTGGCATAGGCAACACAAATGGTGTGATATTTCTTTTCCAAAATTTGCTTATAATAATGGTCAATCCAACCCTTATAATGTTTCTTACTAACTGGAACCCATTTTTGAACAGTTCTTGAGAGTTTCTTATACTTGGCACAATAGGAATGAACAGAATACTTGGCACATCTCTTCTTATGATAATACTTAATCTTTGGAACGTAGGTTTCTTCAACACATCTAGCCGAATGTCCATACTTTTTACAAATGAAATGATAAGCATACTCATCACATGCATTATTCTTTCCGTGATGTTTACACAATTCCTTCCATTCATACTTGGCACACATCTTGTGTTTAGTTACTTTAGTACAGAATTGTTTGTAACCATGACCCAAACAAATCTTTTCATTCTTACTATACTTATCACACTTGTGAAGTTTCTTATATTCTAAACATTTACCCTTTCCAACAAGTTTCCAATCGCAGCATTCCTTCTTGGTACCAATCCATTCATAATCAACGCATTTACCTTGAATAGTTTTGTAATGAGTACACTTATTGTAACAATATTGTTGATGATCAGCGTAGGTATCAGTTGGCTTGTTACCCATGACAACAATGGCGGAGAGAGCAAGCAAAGTCAATCCGAGAAGGATTGGTTTGAGAATAGACTGTTTCATATTGAGTCAATTAGAATCAATTAGTTTTTTTAATGTTTCGAATAGTTTAGAGACAAGGTTGAGATTTAAAGATTTTGAAACTGATTTCAGCAGTCAACCTTATTTGGACTAAGAGCCAAACCATTATCAATCTAAACAAGTGATACAGGTCTAATCAACTATCTGACCCTGTTTCGTATATTAATCTATTGGGTTCATATTTAAAGTTGGAAATTTATTTGGAAAATGCATTGAATGAAACTTTACATTTTTGAAGATTTGGTTTCTAATGAGATGTTATTGTAATAAGAAATGTTTCGAGTAATTACATCTCATTAGAAACCAAATACATTATCTAATGAGATGTTATTACTCTTATTGTAATAAATACTCGAATGAGATGTTATTACAATAAGAGTAATAAGAAATGTTTCGAATGATTGTAAAGTTGAAACTTTAAAAAAATGGAATCACCACTAAAGAAGAAGAAATTACATCATCACAATGATGAAGAAAATATTCAAATAATGAATGAACAAGATGATGAAAATGTTAAAATAATATTATCAGATTCTTTATACGAAAGTAAACTATTCTCCAATTTACAAAATCAATTCGGAGGAAGAAAATTTAAAGAAATCCAATCCGAACACACATATATTGATCACATTCGCTTCACACACGATGTTAAATGTATTCGAACTTGTCCAAAGAAGAAAAATTTACTCCTTCTCCACTATTCTAAAGAACTTTCCATTTATGATTTGGAAAGCAAACAAGAAATTAGAAACATTCACTTTAAAACAAGTGAAGATTTTGAAATTGATGATCAGGGAGATTTCATCTATTACATTACTAAAGAAGATTATTTAACAAAATCTTCCTTATTAGACGAAAGAAGTAAATTAAACACAATTTGGGAAGAGAAGATTAATTATCAAACTTTTATATTTTGTGAATCAAAGAATGAAATTTATGTAATTGATCATTTTAATACTGAATTTGTAATGATTCATGTATTGGATGTATCAAATGGGGAATTAATTAGGGAAATTGTCTTTCCTATTATGAATTTGATTACTGAATGTGATGGTGGACATTTAACTCATGAAATTAATCAATTTTACTATGATGAAAATGGAGGAAGATTCTATCTAGCTTTTGAATCAGTTCTAGTTGATGATGAAGATTCAGACGATAAAACTATTCATTCTCTTTATGTATTTGAAGAAAAGATTGGTAAAACTAGTAAGATTCATATTAATTATTTAATTTCAATGATTGGAATTTTACAAGAGAACTATTTCTTTTGTTTAGATGAATGTAGAAATGTGCATATTTATTCAAAGAATACAAATGAATTGAAAAATTCATTTACAATGAATAGTACTGCTCAATGTATTTATTTTGACATGTCAACCAATAGATTATTCCACAAAACAACAAGATGTATTGAAATATTTCAATTAAATATTATAACAAAGAATGAGAGTTTTCCAATTAACAGAGAAATGTGTCAAGCTATCAAGAGATTGGGAGGCGAATTTCCACAATATCTTTCACAACATCATCAAGTACCAAACACTGTAAATTTCTTGAGGAATATTAATTTCAGAAATACGATTTTGAAATTTGTTGACAATGAAATTAAGGAACATTTCAGTTTAAAAGAATTACTATGTAATTCCAATATAGATAATGTGCCATGGGGATATTTAAAACAGCAAAAGTGTTGGTTATTTGTGATTTTTGAGGAGGTTTCGAATATCAATGACTTTCCAATTTACCTTTGCTCTAGTAAGGATCGACAAATACTGTCAAGAACATACACATTTTCAGAATTTCTCTCTAAATGTACACCAGTTGAACAAGTTTCAGTTTTAGAACAGGAATATCTCATTGATTTTCATAGTATCTATCAAAATTTATTACAAAAAGGTATCATTCATCCACAAACACGTAAAATCGACCCTAACATTCTATTAGCCAAGTATAGAGAAATGGTTTGTAAAAATATTCACATAATCGAGTTGAGAAATCATTTTCAATACTCAACCATTAAATTGGAAAATACTGAATATACAAAGATGGATTTAATTGTGGCAGCTGAACGAATTTACTCTGATGCAACAATACCACAATCATTTATTATTGAATAAATAATTGATAATTGTAGACGAATCCACAATTCGAATTGAAATTAATATCTAGAAATGTTTATTGTAAAAACTCCAGTTGTACATCAATCATAAAACGCAATATCAGCAACTGGAATGAGAAAGTGTTACATCAAGTAAACTTGTAAATTTAAGTTTAGAATAACTTTTGCATTTAGAGGTGGAGATGAAACGTCTGGGTTGAGTGAACAACACAGAAAAAAAAATAGAATGCAATCCATTGATGCAGCAGTATCAATCGTGTTGGATAAAACACCATCCAGCCCAAATCTAAAACTAAAGTATGCCCAAGAATTAGAAATCAAAAAGAAACAATTCGAATATTTGCAAGATTTATCAGAATGTAAAAAGGAATGTATTCACTATTTTATAGATGAATATCCCATTCCGTATCCTGATGATAGAAATTTCATATTAGAAATAGCCAAAAATAATCCTGAATCTATTGGAAAGTTACCTAAAGTTTATTTGAACAATGTTGAATTTGTAAAGTTTTGTCTTGATAATGATTGTTGGGATTCGTGGACATCAATTCCAGAAGAATGTGAAGAATATATTGAATTGGTGAAAAAAGCTGTATTCAAGTATGCCAATATGTATGGCTCACTTTCTGAAAATGTCAAAAGTCAAATCGATCCAAAAGAAATGATTGAACATTGGATGCACCTTCCTGATGTTAACCGTCAAACTATCCGATATTGCCAACAAGAACATTTGCAACATCTCGACAGACAAACACTCAAAGAATTTATTCAAAAAGATTTAACACCAAATATTTCGCATCTCAATTTTCCAATGATAGAGAAATAGCTCTCTTACTAATCAAACAGAGAAGATACTTTGCCATTGAGATGAAATCTGATTTCAATTGGAAAGAAGATGAAGAAGCATTCGATGCCTTACTTTACTCAAAGAATAATTTAGAAATAGTTGGAAGAAAACCAGCTTATTATTCAGTATTGCAATGTGCACCTCAATTCTTTGATGATAGAGAGTTTGTGATGAGAATTATCGATCATGATCCGAGTTCGTATTTAAAGTGCTCTGACAGATTGAAAAATGATAAGGAAATTGTACTGAAACTTCTTTCTAAAAATGGACAATTGATTGGTAATATTCCGCAATGTTTAAAGGATGACAGAGATATTATTAAGGCAACTCTATCGTCATATTCAGGATACTTTAATTATTTATCAGAAACTTTTAAAATGGATAGAGAATTAGTTTTAATTGCTTTGAGAGCACCTAAACCTTTTTTTGGAGCTCAAACAGTTGATAAGAGTTTTTACAATGATCCAGAAATAATAGACTTGATTATAAGATCAGGTTATATTGAAAAGATTGATGATTTTTCAGATTTCACAGTAGATCAAATTAAGGATTGTGTTGATTCCAATACTTATACGCCAGAGCTAAAAAATTACTTTAGAAATGCATCATTTTCTGATTGTCTGGAAGTTATAAAACACAATCCAAGTAGTTGGACTTATTGGGATGGTTGTCAGGACTGTCCGTTCATAGATGAATTGGTTTTGACCTATATCCAACATTTGAATCCAGATTGGTATTGTTTGCCTTACAGTTATCAATTCAAAAGCATTGAACAATTCAAGAATATTATTCGATATGATGTGAATGGTGAATTTTTACTTTGTAATGCACCAAAGGATGCATTGAATGATAGGGAAATTGCAATGCACTATGTAAAATGCCGTCCGAAAACTGTTTTTCCGGAATTAAGCCCAGAAATGCAATCTGATCCAATTATTAGAAAGGAGGCAATCAAGAATGGATTATTGAATGCAAGCTTTATTCCATTGAAATAATTATCAATTTATTGACCCTAATAATTGTGGTGTTGGTTGAATAAATTTAAACAATACCAGTAGAATGATAATTCCATTATGAATACGATAATTATTTAAATTTAGCTATGTATTTGGAGCGAGCAACCAACAATTCACCACATGTTTCATCCAAACATATTCCAGAAACATCCTCATCAATTAAGTGCTCCATTACAATTTCCAAGTCACTCTTCCTTAAAACTAAAACTAGATTAGTAAGTGTACTAGTAAGGATGATATACTGTTTCGAAGAGTCATAAACCATTGCATAAAATCGAAATGGTTTTGGTAACTCTTTTGATTTGATAACTTTGAGTGATGGTACTGATTTGTTTTCATCATCTATTTCATGTAATTCCAATTGATATAGAATAACCTCATCACCATATGGAATTATCACCTCATCACCAATCACTAACAATGAAAATGCCCCATATTTAATTTTGGAATTGACACTTTCCTCATTTCCATTTTCACAATTAAATAAAGTTAAATAATCTGTAAAATTATCAACAACTATCAAATATCGTTGTGAGTTTGTTTTGAAAATATCAATTCCAAATGCATTCACATTGGTTTCCTTACTCCACACAACACAATCTTCCCAACTACTACATCTCAATAATGGACCCAATCTAAACTTGACAATTTTAGTCTTTGTTGGCTCTTCACTATGATCCGTATAAATCAAATACAATTCATCATTCACATCATCCATTACTGAAACTAGAGCACCATGAAAAGTTACTTCATGAATCAATGAATTACAATTTCTATCAAAAATTTCAAATTTCTCATAAGTAATAACTAAAATACAATTGTACCGATATGAAATCTTAATATCCACATAATCTTCTGAATTGGGCAAGCCAATAGATCCAGAGTTTTTAAAATTATACGAAAATGGAACAATTCGTGGTTTTTTAAACATCTTCCGAAGCCATTCAAATTCTTTTGATATTAATTCTTGTGAGTGGCAGTGATGATCATCAATTTTCTCATCATGATCATTCGATTTGAAATCAATCAGAGAAACAATTACATTACATTCATCTTCAAACATTTTTTTTAAAATTAAATTGTAAATTCTGAAAACAACCACACAAATTATATCAGCAATGTGTTGTTTCGTTCTTGCATCGAGTTCATTTTAGTGTATTGTTGCTGCTTTTCTTCTTATTACTTTCTCATATTTTATGAGAATTTTAAAAAAAAAAATTTGATTTGCTAGCTCGGAAGTTCAAAATGCAATTTTGACAGGTAGGAAACCTCAGGTGTGAAGTGTTGCAATCATCACTGATGATATTGATTGTTTTAATATGAAAATCAAACAGTTGTGATGAAATTACATTGGAGAAACAGCACTATTATTTTTTTAAATTCACAACAGCAAGGAATTTTGAGGTGGTTGTCATCATTGATGATTTACTTTTTAAATAGAAAAGATGAAGATACCATCTTTTCAGAATATAAATTAGGCATTTGTAGGAAGATTATTAGGTATAAAAATAAGGAAAACTCAGTGAGGAAAAATAATTGGAAACAAAATTGCAGAAGGTGGGATTTGAACCCACGAAGCTTGCGCAGTAGAACTTGAGTCTACCCCCTTTGACCACTCGGGAACCCCTGCTTACATTAACACTTTTAAAATCAATTTTATGTTGTTAAATCTCGCTGCAACAAAGGCAATTACTTTTAGGTTCGTGTTTGGTGAACGTACCAATGATCTCATTGTTATAAATGGCTAATTTCCTTCATCTAATTGATAAGTTCATTACAATTTATGCGATTTGTGACATTAGATTAGATCTGTCTTTACTCAACACTTAAAAAAATGTTTAAACGTTATCTCTCTATCTTCCTTCTCTCACTGTTCATTCTCCACCTGTGCTATGCATGTAATCCACCTAAAATTGGTGGGTGTTATATTTTCCCTCCAAATGATGAATGGAATCGTGACATTTCCAATGATCCAATTGACTATATGAGTTCCTGTTATATCGCCAAATATTCAGGTAATTTGAAGGCAGATTTTAGCGGACCATACTTTGATGGTACACAAACCGTAAGTGCAGGAATTCCTTATAATACTGTAAAGGGAAATTCTGTTAGTAAGGTTACAATTAAATTTTCTGCTGATGGCGCTCCAGATGAATCAGATTTCACATCAGCACCAATTCCATTGAATAGTAAGATTGAAGGAGGTTCTGATAAGTAAGTAGTTCTTAATATTGGATTGATAATATCTTATCAATATTTAATTTGAAATAGACACGTGTTAGTTTTGGACACAGATAATTGTATTCTTTATGAAATGTTTGGATCTGTTGCAGGAAGTGATTCTTGGACATGTGGATCAAATGCAAAATTTGATTTAAATCAAAGAAATGCCAGTATGTTTCGTTATCCAAATGAATTATCAGTTACCTCAGCAGATGCTGCTGGTTTACCAATTTTCCCTGGTTTGATGAAATATTCAGAAGTTGCTGCTGGTAATATCACTCATGCAGTTCGCTTCACACTTCCAACTGCTCAAAGAGCTTACATTCCTCCAGCAAAACATTATGGTTCCAAAGGATGCCTCCTATCTTCCGTATGGAGCTAGATTCAGATTGAAAGCTTCATTTGATTTATCTTCATATACTGGTCAATCATTGGTTATTTTGAAGGCATTGAAAAAGTATGGAATGATTTTTGCGGATCAAGGTTCAAGTTATTTCATTAGTGGAGAACCAAATGATAAGTGGGATAGTGATGATTTGAATCAATTGAAAAAAGTTCCATCAACTGCATTCGAAATGGTGAGAAGAACTGGAAAGATTGTTAGAGATTGGACCACTGCAACAGATTCCTGTAATGGACAGTCAACTGAATTGATTTATACTCCCAATTACGTTTGTAGTGGAAATTATACTAATGTAAATAATGGAAAATCAGTTTCTGGAGCTAGCCATCTTTCAATTACTCATATTATTTCATTATTGATTATTGTTGCTGTTGCTGTTGGTTTAATTATGTAACAATAAATATTTAAATGAATTAAAAAAAACTTGGTTTAATATTTACATTTTAGAGACTGGTTCAAGTTGTAAAGTGGTATTTTCCAAAACAGTATTATCAGCAATAATAGACTTGCTCTTTGCTATCAGTGTAACCTTTCCTTTGAGAACAACGTTCTTTCCAAAAACAACATGACCACGGACATCGAGTTCAGTAAGTTCCTTAATATCTGGTACACCATTGCTAAAGTTTGAAAGATAGTCTCCAACCTTCTTATAATAACTATCATCAAGATTAATAATTGGAGCTTCTTCAGTGCTAGACTTTTCCAAGCAATAACCCTCAGAGAGATTATATAAATTAGATTGGACTAACATGAGATCAGAACATTTCTTAACAGGTAAGAAACGAGATCTAGGGACTTCAATACCGAGTGACTTATTGAAAACTTGAATAGCAGCACCAGCAGCTGTTTCCAATTGAATAATCTTGACACCATCCACTTCCTTCTCGTTATTAATAATTTCAACCTTTCTCTTTAATTCTTCCAATTGAGTTTCAATGGATGGAAGACGAATCCATAAATTGTTGGTATTGAAAATCTTGAACTTTTCGATTGATTCAAAATCTTTAACGTGGTGTTTTGGAACTTGAGCAAGTTCTAATAATTTAACAGCCTTTCCATCATAATTGATCAAAGTACCTCCTTTAACGTCAGCCATAGTTTTCTTAGTGACCTCCATACAAAAATCGACTTGATTTTCAGTGAGATACTTCAAAACTCTAAGATCAACTGTAGCACCTAAATTGTCAATATTAGAAAGGAAAATATATTCTTTTCCTTCTTGTTTGAATTGATTATATAATGGTGATTGGAAGAATGAGCTATAAAAGTCACCGTGACCTGGTGGATACCAAGCTTCCTTATTGGAATCACTTGGAATATCAGATGGTAATGGAAGTAGTGATTCCTTGATAATTCTTGGAAATTGATTTTGTTCGAAACATTCAATTCTAACTTTAACATTGGCATACTTTGGGGCAGTGATAATCTTCTTTGAATCTTCTGAAGTATTGAATGAATTCATTAAAACCAAAGGAACGTCAACGTTGTATTTGCTGTTCAAAAACTGAAAAGTTTAGAAATAGGCAAAATTAAATACTTACTTGAATTTGTTTGATAGTGAGATCGAGGAAAGTATCTTCCTCTCGGACTTGAATGACTGATTTTGGACCAGTGCAACCCATGGTAGTTCCCAAACCACCATTTAATTTAATAACAATTAATTTAGATAAAAGTGATTGAATTGCTTCATCGGAAGTGTCGTCAGCGAGTGAATCGTATGGTTTGACGTCTTCCTCAGAAGGTGTTCTAATCTTTTCCCAATCGATTTGTGATTGATCCTTTTCATTGACAAATCTATTGAACAAGATTAAAAAGTCTTGCATTTGTTGAGCAAAGTGTTCCTTTCCGTTAGACTTTTCAATAAGTTGTTGTACAGCTTGTTCCATTTTACTATTGGTAAGTTGATGATGATTTGGTGACGATGTATTTTGCGGATTAGTTAGTAGTGATGATGTGTGGCTTGCCAAATAATACAAGAATATTACTGGTTGTTGTTTTTGTCTGTTTGTTTATCGTTGATTTTTTTGTGTTGTGTTTTTTAGGCTTTGAAAATTTACTTGCCAACAAAAGCTTGCCAGGGAATTTTCGGTTGGAATTTTGAAGGCCGAAGTAGAAAATCAAGGCGAATCTTCAAAACTGACCTAAAAAGTGCCCATGAGTTGTAAACCAAGAATGAGTCATAATCTGAATGGTCAATAGCATTTAAAAAGGTTTGTTTATTAATATTTATATTTTAAAGAACCAAGATGGACAATTGAGGTTTTGGAAATTGATGTTATTTGGGAAGATATTTTCTATGAATATTTAGGGAAAATTTACAATATGAAAAGATGCGGCATCTTTGAATAATATGTATTACAATATTGTTGGGATAGGAGTATGATGAGAACCAATGACAAGATCAATTGTATTTCCTCATTTTTAAAATTGTGAACGATTTATTGAAAGAAATAGATCTATCTACTCATTATTCATTTTAACAACTGTGAATCAAAGGCAGTTATGGGATACTGCGCAGAAAAAATAAGAGAATGAAATGACAAAACAGGCTTAAGGGAAACATGAATAAATTCTCTTGAATTAGGATCTATGAGGGTATTAAGATTAATACAGAACTCCCCTACAACTATTCACTATTTACGAAATAAATAATCAAAAAAATTTTACCTTCATTTTTTTAAAATTAAAATTTTTTGAATTAAAAAAATGCATAAACTTATCCACTCTAATACTCGCTTGCTGAAGGCTGTTTCCTCTCAACAATGTGCCTTCTCTACATCCGTTTTGCGATTCCAAAAGGCTGTTGAAGGTTCCGTTCCAACCAAGCCAGTCCAAACACCAAGCACTAGTGAAGAATTAGTCAAGGATATTTTGAATAATAACGCTGTAGGAAAAATTGCTGAAGCTGTTGAATCCTACGAAAAACTCAAGAAGATGAATAAGAATATTGAATTGAAAACTTTGAACACTATTTTGAGTTCGTTCGCTTCTAAAAATCTTCTTTTCAAATGGTTTAAACCATACAAAGATTATGTGGATATGTATGTTGAAGCTGGTAAATTCAGACCAAAGGAAGTACGTATTTAAATATTATTCCGAAATTCTAAAACAACACAACAACAAAATATAGAGATTAGAGGAAGCTAAGAGAGTTTTTGATGATATTTACAAGTACCACCAACAACCTGATATTGTCTCTTATAATGCTTTGATGAAGGTACAACTTTCTACGGATGACGTTTTGAATGTTTTTGATACTTTCAATCAATTACAATCTTCTGGAGTTACTCAATCACCATTATACAGAGAACAATTGTTGACCACATTCGGTACACTTTTGAGAGCTTGTTCTATGCTTGAACAAACACAATTAGCTGAAGAAATTTACTTCTTTGCTCTCCAAGAACTCATCAAGGATAGATTGGCAACATCACACGAAAAGCCATGGAAATTATCTGATAGTGTTTCATATTTAACATTGTGTAATACTATGTTGGATGTTTATGCTGAAGCTCGTGATCCATTTGCTTTCAACTTTTTCGATCAAATGGTTGCTAATTCTTCAGCAGCTCACTACTCGAATCAAAACATTGAAAAATCTCGTTATAAGAGATCACCAAAGTTGTTGGGTTCTCTCAATGGAATTACATTCAATACTTATGCTAAGGCTTGTTTATTTTTGGATCAAAGAATTAGACTTGTTGAAATGGCTGAAAGAATGAGAGTTGAAGGTGTTCTTCAATCTGAATTGAGTCAACCTGTTAGACTTGAAATTAAGCATGCCCTTGAAACTTATACTGAACAATTCCACAAACAACATAGATCTGAATTATTACCAGAAGGTCCACACGATTTGATTGCTTCTGATCTTTTCTACGATTTGAGAGATTTCCTCATTATTGATCCAGATGAAGAAGATAATGCTGCTTGGGGTAGAGAAGTTGATACTCGTGACTTTAAGTTTATGAAATTCTTGAAGCCAACTCAAGATTTGTACAAGATTGATTTAGGTGATTCTTTCAAAGAACGTAAATAAATAAGAGATATTAAGTCATTCACCCACATTCATGTGGTATGGGCCTGACATTTCTTTACTGGAACCAAATTGTCACAACCAAAATAATAGATTTGATTAGTTGTTGTGTTAATGTGTCAATTTTATTCCTTTCCTCGTCACATAAAAATACGCTGTCTAATCCCTCTCGTCCATCTGTCATCAGTTATTTATTATTTCATTAAATAAAAATGAGGTTCTTTAATCGTGGTGGAAAGAAGGACGATAAAAACAAGAACAACGGTTCTACAACCACAACACCAGATAATAGCAGTGGTACCACTACTACAAATGGAGGTCGTTCTGGTTCTACCACTCAAACACCTCCAATTTCAACTGGAATACAAGATTCAACAGTGAGTGGTAGTCCTACTTCAATGACTCCAACCTCCACTGGTATGATGAATATGAATAATGGTTCTAGTTGGTTCTGGTTCTTCTTCTTCAAATGGTGGAGAAAATTCACCAGCTACAGTAGCAGTAGTAGAAGGCTCTGGTGTCAATGTAAAATCACTCATCACCAAGACCTTGACCTCTCTACAGGAAATTTGGGATATTCACGGAGAGTTTTTGACTGTAACAGCAGATGAAGAAGATACTAAACAAAAACTTTCAAAATTGACAAAATCAGAAATTAGAAAACACATTGATTTATTAATTGGTAAGAGAGAAGAGTGGAGTTCTGAGAGTGATGAAGCTTTTGCCTATCGATACAATATTAGAAAGGCTCACGTTATGAGTGAAAACAAATCTATAGAAAGAGGTGATTTACTTCCACCTGTTTATTTAACCTCTGATACTACTTTTGATCCGAGTATTAAATTCTTTTGTAAAGTAAATTTAGTTGGAGGTAAGTTTAGAATATTTAGATTAGTTTATATTCATGAATGATTTATATCAATACTATATATTGTATTATAATAACAATACTATTATTTGACTACTGATGGTTGAATGAACTTGTTTGATGCTTGTCTTGTTGACATTATCTCCCATTCATTGAACATCTCGGCTCACCTCATCAAATCATTAATTGGTTTACATTCGTATATATATATTTAATTGTAACATTTTATACATTCTCTCATCGAATTTCTTATTCGACTATTCATAATAATATAATAACAATAACAACAACAACATTAACTGTCTATATAACTTTTATGTAGACAATTTCCAAAGAATGGTTGATTGTGAACCATATTCCTCTGCTGACGATTTTGCCGAGTTGTTTATTAACAAGATTAACAAGTCACATCTCTTGAATAGAAGAAAGGAAGACGTAAGTAAATTATAACTGCAATTCTCTCTGAACATCATCATTACTAATAACAACAACAATATCATCAATAATATTATCATCAAATTTCATAGTGGATTTTTAAAGCTACTGGTACATCTGAATATATTTATGGTAATCAAAGAATGATTGATTTTGAAGTGATTAGAAGATGTTTGAAACGTGGTATTAATCGTGTCCAACTAAACCTCATGGACAAGGAAACTGTCTTGAAAGAATTGGATCCATATGATATGAATTTGAGGACAACTGAATATGATTTTGATTTTAAGAGAACTCCAAGATATTCCATGGATGATCATGAAAGATTCAAAAAGATTCAAAAAGATATTAGAGGAAACAAGAAGCACATCTTTTTGCATTACAATAGATTCAAAGGAGTGCAAACATATAGTAGTTATACAGAAGATGAATTTTCTAAAAACAGCTCTTCAACAATTTTGGATGACGATGAATGGATTAGTAAGATTGATCAAACTGATAATAATCACAATTTGACACAAGCAAATCTCACAATGAGAGATTCTTTATTCAGGACTGAAGAATTAATTAGAGATAAGAAGGCATTCACATTGTGGGATATTCATCGTCCATTCCGTCTTAAAATTGTTGGACTTGATAATATTCCACTCTCAGAAGATAGAGCTATTTACATTACTGCTCAAGTTTTTTTAGGTGGAATGCCGTTGACAAATTGTCGTATTACAAAGTGTGTAATCCAAAATAGAAATCCACGCTTTAATCAATATATTACCTTCCCTGAATTGTACATTTCTGAACTCCCTCGAGAAGCTAAAATTTGCATTACAGCTTTTAGCAAACCATACGTCCAAAATGATCCACACTTAATTGTATCAAATAGATCACCAACCATTCAAGATATGACAAAACTTGCTAGTAGTACCATCAAGAAGGGTGTTATTACTGGTAATGAAACACTCCAAATTAATACAGCAAATACTCAACTTCAACTAGGAACATCTCCATCAATGATTTCAAATCCAACTGAAATTATTGATATTGATCAATCTTCAGCTGCTTCTTCCAGTTTCTTGAACGGAGATGAAGAAGATATTCTCGAACATGAACAAGAACAAGGAGAAGGTGGTAAAAAATCCAAGAAGGATAAGACAAATGTTCCTGTAGCTGGTATGAATTTCCAATTATTCAACTTTTGTGGAACTCTCAAACAAGGTGTTTATTGTCTCAAAGTGGAACCAAATAGAGAAGCCAAACCAATCATGACAAGTGGTGAATCTAAGGATAGCAAGATTTCAATGACTTTCAGTTTGGACGAATATCTGTTACCTATTGTTTATCCTGATGATGAAGATAGTTTCTCTTCTATAGTCACTACAGATCAAACTAATACTTCTTTCTCTGACACTCTCAACAGTCTTAAACAAACAAAGGACCAATTGACAAGATCACTTTCAACAACTGAAGGTGGAATGTCATTCAATCCTCTTACTCAACCAAGAAAAACTCAAATTCAAAACACAGGAGAACAATCAAAACCAGTTGCTCCAAATAGATTCAAGAAGCATTTACCAGAAATATTTATCAAGAGATTTGAAGAATATGTTGCCAAGAAGAATAGTGAAAGTTTACCTCCAGGTATTGCTGAAAAGAAATTAGAAAAAGTTTTGAATTATGATCCACTCAAGACACTCAACTCTGAAGAACGTTGGTTGTGTTTCCTCAATAGAGACAAACTTATTGCCAAACCAAAGGCTCTCTCCAAGTTCTTGCTTTCTGTACCTTGGAAGTTCCCTGAAGCAAGATTGATTGCCAAGGAATATTTGGCCAAGTGGAATGCTATTGAACCAATAGATGCATTGGAATTGTTGGATCACAACTTTGGAGCCAGTTTTATTAGAGAATATTCGATAGGACGACTTAACCAACTCTCAGATCAACAACTTTGTAACTATCTTCTTCAATTGGTTCAAACCTTGAAATATGAAAGTTATCATGACTCTTCACTTGCTAGATTCTTACTCCAACGTGGTTTGAGATCACCAAATATTATTGGTCACATTCTCTTTTGGCATTTGAAGGCAGAAATGTATGTACCATCTATTAGAGAAAGACACGGTTTGATTTTGGAAGAATATTTGAGAAATTGTGGCTCTCACCGTATCGCCCTGTTGCAACAAACAGGTGTACTTCATCAATTGAATGTAATTGCTGAGGGTGTTAAAATAATAGATAAGGAAGAATGTAAAGAATATGTTAAGACATGTTTAGCAGAACTTAAACATCCACCAAAATTCAAATTGCCACTCTCACCTCGTATGGAAGTTAAGGGAATTGAAGTTGATAGATGTCGTGTCATGAGCAGTAAGAAGAAACCTCTTTGGTTGGTATTCCAAAATGCAGATGCAACTGGTGACCCAATTCAAGTCATGTTCAAGGCAGGTGACGATCTGAGACAGGATTTGCTGACACTTCAAATTCTTTCTATTATGGATCAATTGTGGAAGAAGAAAGGTCTGGATCTTCACATGAACCCATATGGTTGTATTTGTACAGGAGATCAACAAGGTTTTATTGAAATTGTCGTTGACAGTGACACTGTTGCTAATATTACTGCTGGTGATACAGGAGGTATTTCAGGAGGTATTAAGGCTTTTACAAGTGCACCTCTTGAAATTTGGTTGTTAAAGAATAATGGTGGAGTTATTACTTCACCAGATTATGAGAAAGCTGTACAAAACTTTGCATTATCATGTGCTGGATACTGTGCTGCCACATATGTTTTAGGTATTGGTGATAGACACAATGATAATATTATGTTAACTAGAAAAGGTGATTTATTCCACATTGACTTTGGTCACTTCCTTGGTAACTTTAAATCCTATAAGGGTATTTATAAGAGAGAAACTACACCATTCGTTTTTACTCCAATGTATGCCCAAGTTATGAAATCTTTTGATTCTGAAAATAAGGGAAAATGTTATTATTCCACTTTTGAAGAGAAGGTTATAGCTGCTTATCAAATTTTGAGAGAAAATGGACATCTGATAATGAATCTTTTCCTTCTCATGTTGGCTACTGGTATTCCAGAATTAACTTCAGTTTCTGATATCAAATGGCTGCGTGATTGTTTGGTTCTTGATAAGTCACCAGAAGAGGCTGAACAACACTTTAGAGATAAGATTACAAAGGCTCTTGCAAACACAAAATCCCAATTCAACGACTTTGTCCACATTGTAAAACATAAATAAATATAACCATTTAAATGTTATGTTCTCAGCCACAAAACTCCCACCAAGTTGTCTCAAACTATTCGTTAACATATTCAAAAAAAATGTCAAGATACTCAACACAACCTACCATGCAACGTGGTGCTTCATCTAATAAGGTTGAGGATTTTGAAGATATGTTAGACATGGATCCTTATGATTTGGACGAGAATGTTAAATCACTTCTCGTTGCCGAAAAACTTGAGGAACAATATCAACGTAAGTTTTCGAAGGCTTGATAGTATTTATTTTAACTGACAATTTCTTCTTCATCAAATAGATTCATTTCAAAACATTGCTCAAATGAGACAAGCTATTGAGGAGGAGGATAGGAAACGGGAGAAAGTAGTGCAAAGGCAAAAGGAGCCAGAGCCGGAAAAGTATTATGATAGTGAGGGTGATGACGAATTAGAAATAATGGAGAGTGATGATCATGTTACAAAGTAAGTTGAATTACATTAATTATTAATTAATGTTACAAGTCAATTGGAGTTTACATTAGATGATATACCATTTCCTGCAAATCAAGATAATATTCCTATTCATGAAAGATTACTAAATTTCGGATCAAGCCTTTCATTAAAACATCAGTTGATGAAAAAAGCTAAGGATGAGAAGGAAAGTGAAACACAAACACCACACATTACTGAATTTGCAAAGCAAATGAAAAGAAAAGGAGCTATTGAGAATAGATTGCTTCAATCTAGGGATGAACTGAATGCAAGACTTGATGAATTGAGAATGGAAAAAGAGAAAAAAGAACTAGAGGAGCTACGAGGTCCAAAGATCAATAAGAGATCTAAAGAATTGAAAAGAGATGAACCAGCATACGATAGGTTACTAGGATACAGAGAACAAACTCTTGCTAAAAGAGAAATGATAAAGAATCTACTCGAAGAAAAGAAACAACAGGAAATAACAATGAAACCACAAATTAACAAAAAGTCTCAAAAGTTGAGAAGAGATATTGATGCTATTCAACAATGGGAAAAGGAGAAAAATCTGAAAACAGAACAATTGAGAAATGAAATCAAGAAACAAGAAATCGAGCAATTGCAACAGCCGAAAATTAATCCAATCAGTGAAAAATTAGCAGCACAAATGGACAGGGGTCAAGATGTAGGAGATTATTTGATACAAAGATATGAGAAAAAGAAAATGGAAAGAGAAATTAGGAATAAGATTGAAAAAGAAAAGGAAACAAAAGAAGCTAAACCTCATATTTCAGTCCATTCTGCAAATTTGGAAAGACAGGGGGTTGTGTTTGATAGATTATATATTGACAGTTTAGAAAAGGAAAATAAGAGAAGAGAAATGTTGGAGCAAATAGAAAACAAGATTAATAATAATATTGATCCTCAAACAGGAACACCTCTTTACAATCCTATCATTAATGCTAGATCTGCTTTAATGGCTAGAAGAGAACCTGTAGAAGATGTGTTGTTAAAAAAACGAGAAGAAGCAGAAAGAAAGAAGATGGCTTTAGCAGATAGGGAAAAGAAAGAATTAGAAGCTCAAGGAGGGAAAGTTGGAGCCTACAGCCGTCTTTTAGTTGAAATACTAGAAAAGAGAACCAACACAAATACTATGGATCGTCTTACCAGAGTTCCAAAGAAGCCAGAACCTACTGTCATAACTCAAACATATTCTTTTAAACCAGCTATTAATCAAAATTCAAGAGAAATAGACAAATATAGAAATCAAGGTACTCCTCGTCAAGAAGTGTTATTAAGGAAAGGATATGAATACGAGCAGCACAAGAAAGAAATTGAGCAAAGGATCAAGGAAGTTGAAATGTCTCATTCACCAAAAAAGAAGCCTAAAACTCCTAATGGACATTCTCTAGCAGATAGATCATTAGATTGGGCAAAAAGAAAAGATTTAAAGCTCGAATCTGAACGAAAAATGAGAGAAGCAAAAGAATCTGAAGAATGCACCTTCAAACCCAATGTAAAACGACTTGATGTCAGTAACATTGCACCTTGTGAATCTCATTTCAGGACAAAGGAGGAGGAAAATAGTTATCTCATTGCAATGAAAAAGCAGGAGAGTGTAAAGAAGCTCAATAATTCCAAGACAGAAGATATAAAACCCAAAGGGGGTTATTCACAGAATAAGAAGGATCCAGTGCCAAAGTCAATCAGACCAAAGAGCAGAGGGTCAGTGGATTTAAGAACCTCAACCAAATCAGTCAACCCTATTTCAAATCAACACCCTATTAACACTGATATTGATCGTAGGACACAGAATACAAGATATGATGAAATGGAGGATAGTGAAATTATGGACAATGAAAACATCTATGACGAAGAAGAAGTGGATCCTGAAATGGAATTTGAACAGTTGAGGAGACTTGTTCAACATGATAAATCCACTACTCAAGGATATTCAAATAATTTCAAAAACTCTCCACCTTTAAATATTTCAGATTTATTAGATTCTGAAAAAACCATGAATGAGCTGTATAGGTTATCAAATGAGCTTGATTATGATGATATGAATAGGATGACCCCAGAAGCTTATGATCTTATCACGAACATGATTAGAAACTCTAGAAAATAAAGTGTATTTTAGCTAGGAATCAATTTGCGCGCCAATTCAAATTACAAAAAAAAATAGGTATATGTCTACTGAACAAAACGGTATGTACTGGTTTTCATCATCATTCTCAATTTAATAACAAGCCATGTCAAACGGAGACGATTCTAAGAGTATTTTTGTCGGAGCCAGTTTGCAAACAACAAACAATCAATTAGTAAAATGTAAGTCATCATGATAGCAAAATATTCATCATCTCCGTCATCTGAAATAATATTTATTATCATTATTTAGGCATCGAGGAATTAAGATTGAGGAGAGATGAAGTTACCAGACAAATAATAAAGGAAGAGGAAGAGAAAAATAGGATACAAAACGAATTGAGAGTACTTTCGGAGAAGCTAAATCGCCTCAATGATGGTCTAAGTAGAAAGCTCCAAGCTAAGCAAGAATACGAACGAACATTACAAGAAACAGAAGCAGCATATAATAAGGTATGTTATTTTGTAAATTAATGATTTTAATTGTGATCATTAAAAAAGATTTTGGAAAGTTCTCAGACACTGCTTCATGTATTGAAAAGAGAAAGTGCAAGTCTTTCGAAGAAAGTTGGACAATAATACCATTAAATACAATTGTAAATTATATAAAATTTCATTATCCTAGTTATCTAATTTCTAGTAATCATAATAATTGATTTTGTAATTTCAATTAGTTGATTCATCTTTTGCTCTTAAATGGGCTCAAGTTGTTTAGGGGAAATAAAAAAGGCGAAAAAAATGAACAAGTTTAACAAAAGGCTTGGCGGGCTCAAGAGTCTTTTGCACTTGTTGAACAACAAGAAATCTTCATCATCATCACTTGCTCGCCTCTATAGTATTAGTTTTTCAATAGTAAAAGGATCTCCACTATCCGTATTCAATCAGGAAACTGGCTCTTACCAGGAGACCCCAATTTTCTCTGTACAAAGAAATAATACAGCAAAGCCTACCGAAGTGGCAACTAAACAAACAATCAACTTGACAAAATATGGTTCACATCATGAACACAACAAAATTAAAGGAATTAAACCTATTCCTATACAAACAAGGAAGGAAAATATCGAGTCTTCGAATGCTTTTATTGCTTCTTCTGCAAGAATTTTGCTCAACAATAGAAAGTTCGAGGATGTCATCAATTTAATCAAAAGTTCTTGTCCTAAAGATGAGAATGGTGATTTGGATATAAAAACAATAGCTTCACAGGAAGCTGGTACCGAAGTATTATTAAAATTACATCAAGCGTATGCAGCAATGAAAAATTTGGAAGAAATGAAAAAAATTATACAACACATAACAAATCCTTTAATGTACAACAAATTTCAAGGTGAAATTATCAAACATCATGCTGCAACTGATAATCATGTTGAGGCTTTAAAATTATTGGGGAATATGGCTTATATTCCTTATTGGAATTTGATTTTCTTGGGCGTAACCAAATTGGTAGTTTACCGAATACCAGAGTCAACCCATGAAATTATTACTTTTTTAAATCAATACATCGAGAACCACAAACATGAAATCAATAACACTATTTCAGAGCCCAGTCAACATTTAAAGGATTTACCAGCAAATTATTCTATCAAGGATGTAATTATTAGGATTAGAAAATTCTTTGACGGTACAGGTTATGAATTGGATAGAGTAAGATTTGCGCTAATGACAATAGAGGCATTGTCTTTATTGGAGGATTTTGGAACAATGGAAATTTTGTTTAATATATTAATTGATAAGAATGAAAATAATGCTGATGTGTTATCTAAACTTAAAGGAATAATGATGCACAGCCTTATTTCTCTGGGAAGATATGAGGATGCTCTGTCTGTATTTTTTGATATCAAAACTCCTCCAAATATTAGAACCTATGAAAAGCTAATGCACGTATATATTGGCATTGGCCATTACGATTTTGCAATCTACTTGTGTGAAACATATGTAAAAAATCCAACAACAGAAATTTATGTTTTATTGATCAAAGCTCATATTTTGAAAGGAAATATTGAAAAAGCAGAGTATATTTTAAGAGATGTTATTGAAAATTCAAAACTTACTGATGATTCTCAGATAGTAATGAAAACTTTGCTCATGAGTGCCTATGCTGAGGCTGGTATGATTCAGCAAGTTCAAAAATTATTTGATTCAATTGAAAAACCGGATGCAAGATGTTATAACGAGTTGATGAAAGCTTATTGTCATATTGGTGACACTAAGAGAGTTAAAGAGATTTTCCAATCAGTTCCATCTAAAGATGCTGTCAGTTTCTTGTATTTATTAGATGGTTTAGCTATTGATGGAGATTCATCTACCGCTTTGAAATTCTATAATTTAATACCAAATCCCAACCATATCCATGCAGATGCAGTGGTGAGAGCTTTACTGGCAGATACAAAGAGTGGATTAGATGGAGCTCTAAATTTCTTTAACAAACTAAGAAATCCTTCAATATTGACTAGAAAGAGAATATTAGGAGCCATTTCTAAAGCAGGTGATTTGGAAAACGCTTTGAGTTTTTTCAAAACTATACCAAATCCTGATACAGAATGCTTTGGTCTATTGTTGAGAACATTTTTCTATACCCAAGAGCGTTATTTAAGCCGTGCTGAGGAATTTTTCAGTAGAATACCAAATCCAGATGCACAATGTTATGCCAGTATGATTAGTATTTATGGAAGATCTGGAAGATTAGATTTGGCTGAAAAAATGTTACATCAATATCCATCTCCTTCAACACTTATTGCATTCTTTTATGCCTATTTTTCAAATAATCCAAAAGAGTCTTTCTGGGAAAAGTATGAAACACTTGAAAAACTTTATCCACGTTGTTTTGATAAGCCAGTTTATTTAGCATCTATTAAGGAAGCTGTTAAATATAAGAAAAAAAAACAAAGTATAGCTTTATTCAGAATTTATTTACAAAAAGTTCAAAACAAACAAACTAGGGATCTTTTAGGTTTGCTTTTGTTTATTGCAAAAGAAAGTTCATATCGGGAAAATGAGACTTTAACTAAAGAGATTATTGATGCTGTTCCAAATTGCATTGCAACACCAAATACTTTGGGACAAATCAAGGAAATTGCTTTTGAAATTGAACAATTAATATAATTTATTGTTTAAATGCTTCTGGATTCTTTTCCATTAAATCTTTCAAAAGTTGATTTTTGGCAGATTCTTCAGATGATGGCAATCCAAGTTGCTTTTGTCTTTGGTCAAACATCATCTTTTCAACAGTTGATCTAGTTTCAGGATCTAAATCTGAGAGTTTAGATGTTTCTGGTTCAATTTTCTTTGTATCAATTTCTTGTTCACCTTCCAAAATTTTGCTCCACCATTGCATTGTGTTGACCTTTTGTAAGGTAATAATAACTTCCTTCTTATCTTCAATTTGCCAGAAACAATCATCTGGTACAACTTTTTCAGCAAGTTTTCCCTATTGAACGATTATTGTTGTGATGATGAAATTAATTGATCAAATTTAATTCCGATAATCATCAAATTGCTACCACTTACATCCAAAATAGGTTCAGCTCCCTTCAAACCAACTTTCAATTGATTAGCTTTAATATCAATATCCATTTGCTTTCCGATGGTTCCTTGTGGAACTGGGATGGTAATTGTTACTTCCGAAAGTGTTTGGATGAAAGAATACTTTTCGTAATTGCCTCCGTTTCCTCTGTTTGGGTTCATTTTTTTTATTAATATTTGTTTGACATTTTCCGTTTAGTTTTGATATTTACAATTTGTTTTTTATTACCTTTTGGTTTTTAATAAATAATATGAAATTAAGGTTCATTATTCCTCAAATGGATCTGACTTGTTTGCAGTCTTTGCTTGGACAGCCATTTGTGCAGCTTCCTTTTCCATTTCTTCAATCTTTTGCAATGTTATCGATTTGAGTGGCATGATTTTAGGTTTACTCAATATCTCACTCAATGTACTCTTTTCCGAATAAACAAGACCAGCCTTTGCAATGACTTCCGTTATTCCGACAGTTTCTTGTTCCTATTTTATCAATCCAAACAATAATACATTGAAATCATCAATTATAATACAATCACAATGAATCCCGATGAATCATCACACAACAATAATAGTTCATACAACAACACTCAACCATCCAAATCACCTACCTTATTGTTCACCATTTTTTTAAGGAGTTTTTGCGCCAACTGTAAAATTGTAAAAATATTTGGAGGTAAATTTTTTGATTCTTTTAAGACTTATTTTCAATGGACATCAAAAGAAGAATCATGATTTACGAAAGTGAAATGTAATATTTGTTATTTACATAATCTAAATGAAATAATTTCCTCAATAAAACTCTGTTTGAAATTTGTGTTATCATCAGCAGATACATCAAGATCAATATCTTGATTAGTTTGTGGTTTAGTGTTCGAATAGTTGACTAGATATTCACATCCTTTAAAATATTCATGTTCTAAAGCTTGTTGAGTTGTGATTCGAGTATCTGGATTCCAAGTTAACATTTTCCTCAATAGATCTGCCTCATCTGGTTTAAATTTCGAACACATTTCCTCAAGGAATGGCTTCTTTCCATCATAATCTTTGGAATCTATTTTTGAGTGAAAGTATTTTGTTGAATTTTCAGTTCCTTTCACATCCTCATTATTTGGATATCCTAGAATTTCGCAAAACTTTTGTAAATGATTCAGAACTTATCATGTCAATCAATATATATTTGAAGAATTAATACATACTACCATTCACTCTAAATAATTCCTTGTGCATGAAATATCCATGTTCCAAACATAACATTTCAAAGAATATACATCCAATGGAAAATACATCTATGGCTGTTGTCTGTTGATGATATTGTACTAGAATTACTTCAAATTATTATACTATTAGAATATCCAATAAATACTTACACACAACCTCAGGAGGTCTATAATATCTGAAACAAACATATGAACTTCCCTTTTCTGTTTGCTGTTTTTTAGAAAGTCCAAAGTCTGCCAATACTACTCGATCACCATCCACCAGTAAATTTTCTGGCTTTAAATCTCTAATATGAGTACAATAATAGTAAGACTGATTAGTGTTCATTAAAGCTTACCTATGAATAATTCCAAAATTATGCATATGATTCAATCCACATAATATTTGACACATTATATTCCTACAAACATCAGATGAAATTTGTTCCTGAAGTATCCTAGTGGTTGACATGAAATTTGCCAAAGTTCCATCCTTCATATATTCAATAACAATGTACAAATCCTCAGAATCATTTGAAAAATCCACAAATAATGAAGCAGATGGTGAATAAAATGATTCATCCTCCGTTGAGAAATTACAAGGAGATGAATCAAACCTAACTTTTTCAATATTTGGACTTGATTGATTTCCTGTAATGTACATGTCAATTAATTTTACAACCTTTTAAAGCAATATAAATTTAAATTCCAACTCACTCTAAATCACATACATTTGGATGACCATTCAATAGTTTCATAATTTTGACTTCCCTTAACAGATGTTTTCTGTGTCTCTCCGAAAATACATCAATAATCTTTTTAATAGCTACAGGACATTCCAATTCACTATCAAATGCTTTAAACTATCATTTCCGATACGTTATTTCCAATAATCATTCCAATAATGAATTTTTGAATAATATTAAAAACTCACAACAACTGAAAAACTTCCTAATCCTAAAGCTCGGACTAAATCTCCTTGAAATTCTGGTAAATATTTCTCTGGAAGATATAATGTAGATTCATAATTTCCCTTGTATTTAATAAATCTTGTAAGCCTTCCGCTATTAAATAAATTTTTCCTTTCCTCTGAATAATGATCGGAATGTAATTTGGGTGAATCTATTTGTATTGTTAAAGATGATCGTTTTCTTTCCAAATTACTAGTCGTTGGACTTTTATTCAATATTGTTGTTGTATCCTCATCATGATGATCGGTTTGTTGTTTGTTAGAGGTAACCTCATTTAGTACATTCGACATTTTTTTTTAGAATTTAGAATGCCCGCCCAAGTCAACTACAAAAAGATCAATTCAATTTAGTACAAGAACACTTTACATGTTTTCTCCTTCTTCTGCATCACTATTTGTTTCAATTTCAAGATGTGTTAATTGTTTCATTTGACTTAAATAATCAGCTCCCTCTGTACCAATATTATTGTAACTAATATCAAGATCTGTCAATTGTTTCAATTCACTAATATACTTTGCTCCCTCATTACCAATATTATTGTATTGAATTTTAAGCATTGTCAATTCTTTCAAGTTACTAATATGTTTTGCTCCTTCAGCACCAATACCATTGTAACCAATTTGGAGAATTGTTAACTTGTTCAATTCACTTAAATATTTTGCTCCTTCATCACCAATCTCAGTGTAGCTCACATAAATACTTGTTAGATTTTTCAATTCACTTAAATGTTTTGCACCTTCATTACCAATACGATTGTCACCAATAAAAAGAACTGTTAAATTTTTCAATTCACTTAAATATTTTGCTCCTTCATCACTAATTAATCTATTCCCTTGCATATAAAGCTTTGTCAATTCTTTCATGGTACTGATATGTTTTGCTCCTTCATCATCAATATCATTGTTCTCAATAAAAAGATTTGTCAATTGCTTCATTTCACTTATATATTTTGCTCCTTCTGAACGAATCAAGCTATCACTAATGTAAAGATGTGTTAATTGTTTCATTTCACTGATATATTGAGCTCCTTTATCACCAAGGCTACTATAACTGATATTAAGAACTTGTAATTGATTCAATTCACTAATATATTTTGCTCCTTCTGTACCAATATTATTGGACTCAATATCAAGAGTTGTCAATTGTTTCAAGTCACTTATGTATTTTGCTCCCTCTGTACCAATATTATTGTAACTAATATCAAGATCTGTCAATTGCTTCAATTCACTAATATACTTTGCTCCTTCTACACCAATATCATTTTCACTAATATTGAGATATGTCAAGTTTTTCAATTCTCTTAAAAATTTTGCTCCTTCTGTACCAATATTATTGGCATTAACATAAAGATTAGTTAATTGTTTCATTTCACTAACATGTTTTGCTCCTTCTACACCAATACCATTTTCATTAGTAGTACCCTCAATATTGTCATCAATTTCAAGACTTGTAACATGTTTCATCAATGCAAAAACTTTAAAATCAAACGCATCAGTCCTTCTCTCAAATTCAAGTGTTGAAATATTTGCTAAAAACTGTCCTTGTGGTGGTTTCATTGTATTTTCACATCTTAAAAAAACTTTTGACCTTTCGGATATGACAGCAAACCACTGTTTGGAAACAAGTGCACAATTTACCATAAATTGAAAGTCAGAGTTGAAACTTAAAATTTCAAAGAGTACATCATCATAAAATAGGTTAGGCTTGTGTTTTGGTGATTTGTTGGTATCAACCATGTGATGATTTTCACCAATCACTTCTTCAGGCATTTTTATTTCATCCATTATTCACATGCTAAATATGAAACACTATTTATTTAAGATGTGAGAAGTGTTACTCTCCATCATTTTTGTAAAATATATTTGGACATGTTGAAAATATCAGGGTATTTGCATGACAATCATTGTAACACATGATGGATAAATTGTGTTTTGATTGTTACATTATTTGGAGGTTTAACATCTTGGAAAACCGTAGATGATAAGGAAGATCACTCACTTTCATTCAAATGGAGGTTGTGAATAAGATTGGACTGTATTTAATTAATAAAACTTGTAATTAATAAAGTAAATTGAACAAATAAAAGTGAAAGGTTAGTAAAAATTCAAAAGATGTTTTATTCTGCAATATTCTTTTTCAACCAAGTAATAATATTTGTCAAGCAAGTATCCAAATTCATGGCAGAACTATCGTGTTCATCTTTGATAGTTTCGAACATTGTCTTTTCTTCAAGAGTTAAAGACATTTCTTCGAAACTCTTGTAAGAAAACTTTTGGATGTGTTTCTTATCTACTTTTGCTTCGAACAAATTTTGAATTGTATAGACCTTTGGAAGTGGGTCTAATTTTTCTTCATTTTCAATAATTACATTACAATCATAAAAGTGTCTGATATATCTGTCTAGAGGAATATCAGTAACTTTTCTTCGTTTGACAATTGCATCCATTTTCTCTAATAATGTTTCCAATGGATGAACACAATCAATTTCAATCTTTGGACACTTATTTAATTGGTGGATTACTGATCTGACATCTCGTGTAACTACACAATTATGTTCATCTAAACCAATGTCAATATAAATCTCACCACCTTCCAAATTTCTAACTTGGGATTCAAATTTTACCAGAAATACACAAGTTTCACATTCAGTGTCTAATTCGTTTTTAATTTTCTCAACGACAACAAAAGGAATTAGTCTCTTTGTGTGTTCAAACACGGCGGCAAAGTACTTTTCTCTTTCTTTCTTGTTTTGTGGCATGTGATACTTTAACTCTAAATCCATGAAATTGTTCTTTTTTGGAATTAGTTTTAGATCCATATCCTTGGATTGTCTGTTGGATATGTGAAATACCTTAGAGAGAGTAGAGCCACCTTTGTAGATTACATCAAACTTTCGAGATAGCCAGTAGAGAATGTGGCTTCTCCAGTAATCAAGTTCTAAATCATACAATTGTTTTGACATATCAACAAAATCACTACTTGCTGACATTTTTTTTGTTGATGATTAGTTTTTATTCGAAATGACTTGGTGATGTGGACATTCTATGGGAAGAGACACAAATTACTGTTACAAGTGGGGAGGAGGGGTAAAAATCTTACTTTTAATTTAGGGGTGTTGGCTAGGAAATTACGAAATAATTGGGGGGTAAAAACATTATTTATTTAATTATTTCTTAACTAATTCTTCAAATTGTGATTTCTTTGGTACTCCACGTTTCTAATTCTATAGTGGTTCTTCTTCTTGTTCCAATTCCTTCTCTTGTTAAACCTATGGAATTATAGTTGCTGGGAAAGTCTTCTTAACTTTTTCTTTGGTTATTTTTGTCCGTATGTGGTGAAGTATAAACCATTGTATTGTGCTGGTTGTTGTTGATTAATCTTCCTTTCTATTTACAAAAGTGTCTTCTAAGGTAATGAATCATCAGTTTGTACCAATGGTTATCCTTAATTAATTTCTTGATGGTAATTGCTGTAGGAATTCATGAAGTGAAGGTAAGGCGTGTTATTGTTGTTGTGGAAACATTTGGAAGTGCGTGCTTTGTTTTGGTAGAGGGTTAGTTGTATTGAGGTTTTTTTAAAATATTTTTTTACTTTTATTAAGCTAGCTTTTACAATAAAGAAAAATCAAGCAAGCTGAAAGCGAAGCTTGGTTTTTCTTAAAATTTTAATAAAATTACATTACACACGAGTGGGGTGGAGAAAATATTATTTTACATACGAGTGGGGTCAAAACGAAGGACCGTAATTAATGTCTCTTCCCTATTGCATCAAACTGGCTTTTAGAACGTTAGTACTTTTCAATAGCTCAAACATTACAATAAATTGTTAAATTTTACTATCCTTTCCTTTCTGGTATTATATATCGAAATTATGAGAACTGTGATCAATAACATAAATTAATAAATGAAGAGGAATTAACCGTTTGGCGCCTTTTTTAAAAATTCAAATTACGAAAAAATGAAACAAAGACCAACACCTCAAATTCACGATTTATTGAATTCACCTCCACTAACAATAAAACCCCTCAGAAAAAGCAATAAATCCCTTGATGAAGATGAGAGGTTGTATCATAGTTATTCCGATAGAAAATTAAGACAAAGCATCGGAAAGACAATGGTTGAACTCAGCAGCCAGAGCAGGGATGTTTCTTCAAGTACCCAAAAAAGACCATCATCTGCAATGAGTGCAAGCATTGTATCACTTCAAGGACCTACACTTGCATCAACAGGACAATTCATAATGACTGATTCTGTTCAGTCAACTAAGGGTTATAAATCCCAAGAGGAAGCCAAAATGGAAGATGAATATATCAAGAACTTACAAAAACAAATAGGTTTACTTTCTACAGAGCTTCAGTTGCAAAGAAAGATGAATGATGAAACTGAGAAAAAGCTTCATGAAAAAACTGAACCAATTGAGGATCCAATTCTTACTATTAAGAAAAAGTTTGCTGAGAAGGATGAAAATTATAATCAATTCATTGAAAAATTCAAACAAGAAATTGCTGATAGAGAATCAAAGGTTTGTTTAATAGAAATTGCTTCTTAACACTTTGAAGATTGTGAAATTGAAAGAAAAATACAAAAAGTGGAAAGATAAGAATTTGAAAGAACGAGAACATTCCAAGTTGGAAATTCGTACCCTACATGAGAAGTACGTACCAGAGGTCATTAAATTGGAAAAGCAAATTGATATGGTTAATTTGAGAGTTAAACAAGAAACAAAAGAGAATGAAAGAAAGAATGATGACATTAAAAGTTTCTTGAAAGAAATTGGAGAAATTTCAAAGAAGGTTGAATTTATTCAAATGCAAAAAGACCAAGCAGAAAAACAACTTCAACCATTAATGGATGAACTGAATATAGTAAAGAAGGAATTACTAAGTTATAATTCTAATAGAGATAAAGATAAAAACGAGATTGAATCTTTGAAGGGAAGACTGTCAAAATATGAAAAGGAATGGGAGGATGCTCTTCATAACTTGAAGAAAAAAGATTTGGAGACAAAACAGCTTCAATTAGATAACGAACTCGTTGCTACAGAAAGAGACAAACTGAAAGAACAAGTGAAAACTCTTAAGGAGAAAAATAATGAACAAGAAACTCAAATTGCAAAACTCCAGACAAAATTAAACGAAACACAATGGGATCTTACAAGAGTAAAGGTTAATTATGAGAATTTGTTCAAAGAGAAAACAAATCAAGAAAAAGAAAATGATAAGGCACAAACAGAATATAAGGACAATAAGATCAAATATGAAGAAATGAAAAGACAATTCAAGGAAATTCAAGATAAGTTACAAAAGAAGGAGGAAGAGCTTAAATCTTTCCTCCACACTCAATTTGAAGCTCTTAAACTTAAAAATTCTCAGCTTGAAGAAGCTCTTAGAGAACTCTCCAAAAAAAATGAAGAAATTAGAATTGATAACAAGAAGATTCAAGAAGAAAATGATAATCTTCAAAGGAATAACAAATTATTTGAGGATGAAAAAGAGCAATATGAGAAGAATGAAATTCAAAGAAAGATTCTAATCAAGAAACTCAAAAATCAACTCAAACTAAGTCTTGCAGTACAAAATGTGGACAGACAAAACCTTTCTACATTGATGAATTCAAATGTAAATGTTGCCCAATCAATCAAACAACTTATGGACATTATGAAAGAAAGCAAAGATATTTTAGCTGAAGAAAAGGAAGCAGAAACAATGCCAAATTCTAAACCTCCAAGACCTGAAAGTTCATTTGAAGCCTGGGTTTCCAATGGTAAGAAACAAAGGTAATTAACTGTGTTTACGGAGGTAATTATTTAAGAGACTCAACACAGTTATCGAAATTATGGATTAAGAGTATGATTGTAAACTAATCCAAAAAAAATGTCTAGATTGCAAATTAATATAACTGGATTCGGACCATTTGCTGGAGTGAAGGAAAATCCAACTACTTTGATCATATCAAAATTAAAAGATTGTGAATTTTGCCAAGTTCCTATCACTTATAATATTGTTGAAACATCAATGAAAGGAGTTGATGAATATTTTGGAAATCAAGATGGAAATTCCGATCTGACTAGAATTTATATTCATTTAGGAGTGAGTGGAAATACAATCATGTATGAAATTGAAGAGAGAGGAAAAAACGAAAAATCATTTAGAGTTCCTGATGAGCAAGGAGAAGCTCCTCAAAAAGAACCAATTAATAATAATTTATGTATTGATAATTATTTAAATTGTAAATTAAACGTGGATCAGTTAGTTGAGGAAGTGAATGAACATCTTGAAAATTGTAAAACTCATATTCCACTCTCGGATTTAGTATTAGATTCTGCAAATGATAAGATTAAATATTCTCTAATTGTAAAATCTACAAAAGATGCCATTTCAGAACAAGAAGATATCAGAAAATTGGAAGATTATACATCTAATTTGGAAAAATGTGTTTCTTTAATAACTAAAAATGGAAGTTTTTGCAAAAAATCAAATAATGCTGGATTATTTATTTGTAATTATTGTTACTATTCATCACTACATCATACTCAACCCAAACATAATTGTTATAGCCTTTTCATTCATGTACCTCCACATGATTTAATTAATATTGATAATCAAATTGAATTTGTAAAGGCTCTTGTCCATTGCATTGTCAAACAACTCTCCTAATCGTCTCGAACAAATGTATAATACCCTACCTAATATTATCGTTTCTATTATTCCACCAGCCTTGTTATCATCACATGACAATTCATTATTTAATAAAAATTAAAAAACAATTAAAAAATTCCTAAAGTCTTTTTAGTCTTCATCATAAATGAAAGATGCATCAGCAGTCGAATAACAACCATTCACAGCAGCCAACGATCAATCAAACAAGTGGCGGCTCTGGTCATCAACAAAATAAGAAGAAGAATAGATTTGAATCATCAGGTGGTCCTAGATTTACAAATGTTGTAGTTACTACAAGTCCTGCTTTTTATTCATTAAATCATCCTTCAAATACTACATCATCATCATCCAATCAACAACAACAAGGAGTTGGTTCATCAAATGGAGGAAATTCCCTCATGATGACTGGTGGTAATTCTTCTGTTTTATCATCAAGTGGTTCCAATAATAATAATAGCAGCAATACAATGAACAATAATCAACCTAAAAGCAAGCCTTATAAAAGTCTTGTCTCTAAACCCGTTGTTCAAATCAAAGGAACACCACAAATATTGGCAAAGAAACCAAGTACAGCTGAATCATCATCAAATTTATCTAATAATAATACTATCAGCAACACTCCTGTTGGCAATACACCAAATCAACCTACTATACTACAAAAGAATCCATCAGAGCCTTCCTCTAGAAGAATTAATCAACATTTACAACCAGAAATTAGTCAAAACTTTACCAGTGGTTCATCACCAACTACTCTAAATACTGGTAGTTTACCTCTTACAACTGTAAAATCATCATTGGATGAAAATATTAACAAGCAAGACTCTCCACAAACAACAAATGGTTCTTCTAATGTTGAAAAGAAGAAGGCTTCTATTGAAATGGTTCCATTGTCTTTTGATAAAAAGTGCTTGAATTTAATTCAAGAAAATTCATCTGGAATGTATAATACAATCCTTGAACTTCAATCAAATCAAAACTTACAAGCCATGTCAAATTTATTTCCTAATGATAAGCAAGTTTCTACAGAAAGTAATAATTATTCTGTTATCGGAGTTATTGGAAAACAAGGAAGTGGAAAATCTAAAATTTTAAACTCATTGATTGGAAGTGGAGCTGAAATTTTCCCACAAGAAGATTTGGAATGTTTTTTGGATTGCAAATACAAAACTAGTGGTATTGATATCTATAGAACATCAGAACAACAAATCTTTATCGACACTCAACCATTATTTTCATCACAAATTCAACATTCCTTTAATGGAATGAGTATGAATTCTCTTATGAAACCATTTGAAACATCAGTTGAAGCTGTATCAATTGCTGCCTTGGAAAGTTTTATTGATATTACAAGTTTACAAATTGCATTGTTTGTATTTAGTGTTTGTCATGTTGTACTTGTAGTAGTTGATCATCAAGCAGATTCACTTGAACAATTTAAAATGTATCAATTCATTCAAACTATTAGAATGTTACAACAAGGTGTTCCAACAATTTCACAATGTGGAAAGAGTTCTTCTCAACAAAAACCAACTCTAGAAGGTCATGTTCCAGAAGTTATTTTTGTTTACAATAAGGTTAGCCCAACAGATATGAGTGAATTGAATATTAAACATACAGAAAGTTTATTGGAAAGCTACTTTACAAGTACAAGCTTTAGAAAGAATGGATTTATTCATCCACATATGTGGCACCATCAATTTAAGAAGAATGACATTGTCAATTTCTTTATGATTCCAATGGAATCTTCAAAGGTACGAATTTTAACAATTGTGTTATTAATAATTCATCTCTCAATATTTCATTAATATTAAATTAATATAGATTAAGGATGAATACAAGGATTCTATCAATTTATTAAGAAAAGGAATTCAAAATATGCCAAAACCAAACTTGAAGAAAATGTCTCAAAATGAATGGTTTGGAAATTCTGTTAGAAACTTTGAAGTTATCAAAAAGAGTTACTTTTTACAAGAATATATTAGAAAGATTACAAGTAGCATGTCCATTCACAATTAGGAAAACAATATTGATTTATTGAAAAAACAATTGAACACATTTGAGTATTACAAAACATTTTGATTTTTGAAAATTGAAGAATTGAAAAATTCAACAAATTAAAATCACAATTTGAAACTCACAATTTATACATGTGAAGAATAAACATTTTATGGAAGAACCTAATTCATGTTTTTTCAAGTTGCATTGTCCATATCATTAAATGATACTAAAAAGGCATGAAAATATCAAATGACCTTTCGAATAAAAAATTAAGTGATTCTTTCATAATTGAAATGTGATTCTACTTGAAAAAAAAATGTCATTTCATCACAACAATGATGGGAGAGATCCGACCAATCATCACCATCCAGAAAAACAAGAGCAACCAACATCAACATCATCATCATCTCGACTACGCCAAGAAATTCCATCACTAAACTTAACTGAAATTAATAATATTTTTCCAACAACATTAACAACAATAACGGAAAACAGTACAATTCATCAATTATCAATAACAAGTTCTGACAATAACAGTTTTGAAGAACCATCAACATCAACTACAACATTAAATAGTTGTTCTAATAATAATAATAATATTTCTAATAATAGTAATTCTGATAATAATAATGAAAATATAAATTATAAAGAATTATATGAAAAGGAAGTTGAAAAGAATAAATTATTAACAACTCAACTTGCTATAATAAATTTACAAAAACAAGATGAATTTGAAATTATTAAAATTATTGAAAATGAATTAAATGATAAAATTAATTTAAATTTTATTAAATTTAAATTAAATCAATTAAAAAATTTAAATCAAGAACAAGTATTTACAAATGATTCAATTTTAAACGATTATTCTAAACATGAATTAACTAAATTTGAAAATGAAATTTATAAATCTATTGATAAACATCCAATTATAGAAAAAATGACAAAATTAGAAAGTGAAATTAATTTTTTAAAATATTCATTAAAATATTCAAATAATTGTTCATCATGTACTGAAAAACAAGAATATTCAGCTAAAATAATACAAAAAGCATTTCGTTCATTTCGTATAAGAAATCGAATGAAAATAATTTTTCCCAAATATGACATTATTTCACAACGTAATTCACTAATTAGTGAAATAGTTCAAACAGAACAAACCTATGTTAAATCTTTAACACTAGTTCAAAGACTATATATAGATCCATTAAAAAATTCAGATTTAACAGATACAATGAGATTTAATTTAACAATTTCACAAATTCAAAAAATATTTAATAATTTATCAACAATTTTATCAATGCATCGAATTTTCTTGATAAATTTAGAACAAAAATTGAAAGAATGGCCAAATGTTTTTATTGGTGAAAGTTTTATGAATCAATCTTTCTTTTTCCTTTTTTATGTTGAATATATAAATGGTTATAATGAATCTTCAAATACTTTGAGAGAATTGAGATTGAAAAATAGGGAATTTTTAACATTTTTAAATGAAACTAAAAAACATAAGGAATGTAAAGGTTTATCACTTGAATCTTTTTTAATTTTACCAATTCAAAGGTTTGTTTTTTTTTAAATACTTTCATTACAATAATATTTAAATACTAACATTACAATAATATTACAATAATATTTAAATACTTTTATTACAATAATATTAAAATAGATTACCAAGATATAAATTACTATTAAAAGGAGTATTGAAACATACATTACCTGATCATACAGATTATCAAAATTTAAAATCTGCCTATAATAGAATAAGTGCCATCAATAATGCAATTAATTCTAAAAAGAAGGAACATGAAACTTATTTAATTATCAACAAAATGTTCAATGAAATGAAAATATTTTCAGTTCAACAAGATTATCATTTGTAAAGTATA